GGGCAGAAAACACCGGAAGCCACCCCTTCTGTGGACCAAGCGGGAGTAGTGAGGAGCCCTGCAGAGAGCATCACACGTGCACACTCGACTGCCCCAGTGCCCGTGTGAGCGAGAACCCAGCCCTCTGCAGCTGAGGCCAGCAGCCATGTGTTGCAGGCTCCAGCAGAGAAATGCGGATACCTGAACCAGAACAGAGCTGCACGGAGCCAGAGGGAAGGGGGCATGGACTAAAGAAACAGCCATGGAGGAGGTTAATGTGCAGACGAGGCTGAATGGATGTAAAATGAGGGAGGAGTCAAGGACCACCACTGACCCACTGTGGAGCCACCGCCTGGGGCACAGCAGGGAGGGGGGTCTGGGGCTCTGGCTGGCGGAGGCGATGTGACGGGGGAGGAATCGGCTTGGAGACTGCTGTCCCTGGTGCCCAGGCTTGTGCGCTCCTGCCCTGAGCCGCTGGGTTGGAGGGGAGGATTCCCACCTGTTGGATGCACCGACAAAGGATCTCTTAGCAAAGCAATTTTTACTTTTTTTACTTCCTGCACTGCAGGAAGGGTACCCTCACCAGCCATCTTGCCACGAGACTACACTGAGCAAAGGAAAAGCAGACATATTTATCCCAGACACATTTGGGGTCGTCCTTACTGTGTGGCTGATCTCCGTTGGCTGGAGCCAGACCTCACAATCTAAACTACAACCCGACTGGCTCACAACTTAAAACTTTTCTAAACAGGTGAAAGCAACGGCGAGCTGGGACATGCCTGTGAGCACGTCCAGCACAGATATCCTGCTTAAAGTGCAAGGACATAGCGTGTCCTGCGTGCCTGTAAGCATGGCGTGTCTAACAGCTACATAGGATGGGGCTTCACAGAGTTATTAGCACACTTAGATTTGTTCTGTAACAAGAAGGGAAACTTGGAAGAGGAGCTTTTACTTCCCACACCACCCCAGTTGCGGGTCCTTGTCGGCAACTCTGATGGTTGCTGGCCCTCACCTTTCTTCACATGGGGGGACTCAGGTGAATGAGGCCCGTTACCAACGGCAGGTGAGGTCAGAAAAACATAACAGCTTCTGAGGAGAAACACGGGCGGGAGGTATCGGGCGAACTCTGCTGCTTCCTGTGGGGCCTGCATGGGGCACATTCAGTGGGTGGCCGGCGCTCTCACCAGATGCTTCTCTCAGCCGGGTTTGACCGGGAAGGGACGGGTCTGATGAGTCAGCAGACCTGGGGACTTGGACTGCGCGGGGCCTTCTCAGTGGCTTAATTAAATGTTAAAAGATGTATGTGACTGCTGGGGCCACCAAAACAGAGGGCCATGGACTGGGTGGCATTACCAACAGACTTGCTGTCTCCTGGCTCTGGAGGCTGGGAAGTGTGAGATCAAGGTGTCCGCAAGACCAGTGCCTTCTGAGACCTTCCCTGTTGGCTTGTGGGGGGCAAGATGCCTTCCCTTGTGTCTTCATGTGCTCTTCCCTCTGTGTGTCTCTGTGTCCTAAACTCTTCTTAGAAGGATCTAGTCCTATAGACCAGGGCCCACTCTAAGGACCTCTTTTTTTTATTTTTGACAGAGTCTTGCTCTGTCACCCAGACTGAAGTGCAGCGGCGCAATCCCGGATCACTGAAACCTCTGCCTCCCAGCGGAGTTCAGGCGATTCTCCTGCCTCAGCCACCTGAGGAGCTGGGATTGCAGGTGCCCGCCACCGTGCCCAGCTAAGTTTTGTATTTTTAGTGGAGACCGGGTTTCACCATGTTGACCAGGCTGGTCTCAAACTCCTGACCTCAAGTGATCCACCTTCCTCTGCCTCCCAAAGAGCTGGGATTACAGGTGTGAGCCGCCACCTCCACCCAAAGGACTTCATTTTATCTTCTTATCTCTTTGAAGACCCTGTCTCCAAATACAGTCATATTCTGCGGTCCTGGGAGTTAGGGCTTCGCCAGGTGAATCCTGAGGGGACGCAGTTCAGCCATGACAAGGGAGCTGACAGCTCACGTTCTTATGTGTGTCTCTGTGGAGCTGGGCCTCGTGCCTGTGTGGTCCTGGGCCTCTGCCGCCCTTGGCCAGGCCTCCCTCTCTCACGAGCCCCAGGCAGCCTCCAGCCCAGGCACCGGGCACCTGGCAGCGCCGTCATTCTTCAGCCTCCCCTTTCTGACGTGGGGCTGTTCACCCAGGAGTGCGTTCCCGTCCCGTTTGCGTTCACTCGTCCTTCTGCTGTGGGCCGTGCACAGGTCAGAGCACCTGGATAAGGTCCCAAGTTTCTGTCTGGCTTGGACTTACCAGAAATCACAGTAGTTGCTCAAAAGTCGACGTCACAATTAAGAACACTTAATGCAGAACATTTTTCTTTTTTTTTTATTTATTTTTATTTTTCTTTAATTGCATTTTAGGTTTTGGGGTACATGTGAAGAACATGCAAGATAGTTGCGTACGTACACAGGTGGCAGTGTGATTTGCTGCCTTCCTCCCCTTCACCTATATCTGGCATTTCTCCCCATGCTATCTCTCCCCAACTCCCCCACTGTCCCTCCCCTATTCCCCCCAACAGACCCCAGTGTGTAGTACTCCCCTCCCTGTGTCCATGTGTTCTCATTGTTCAACACCCGCCTATGAGTGAGAATATGTGGTGTTTCATTTTCTGTTCTTGTGTCAGTTTGCTGAGAATGATGGTCTCCAGGTTCATCCATGTCCCTACAAAGGACACGTTTTTGATTGCTGTCTAGTATTCCATGGTGTATATGTGCCACATTTTCCCAATCCAGTCTATCATCATTGGGCATTTGGGTTGATTCCAGGTCTTTGCTATTGTAAACAGTGCTGCAATGAACATTCGTGTACATGTGTCCTTATAGTAGAACGATTTATAGTCCTTTGGATATATACCCAGTAATGGGATTGCTGGGTCAAATGGAATTTCTATTTCTAAGGCCTTGAGGAATCGCCACACCGTCTTCCACAATGGTTGAACTAATTTACACTCCCACCAACAGTGTAAAAGTGTTCCTTTTTCTCCACATCCTCTCCAGCATCTGTTGTCTCCAGATTTTTTAATGATCACCATTCTAACTGGCATGAGATGGTATCTCAATGTGGTTTTGATTTCCATCTCTCTGATGACCAGTGACGATGAGCATTTTTTCATATGTTTGTTGGCCTCTTGTGTGTCTTCTTTTGTAAAGTGTCTGTTCATATCCTTTGCCCATTTTTGAATGGGCTTGTTTGTTTTTTTCCTGTAAATCTGTTTAAGTTCTTTGTAAATTCTGGATATCAGCCCTTTGTCAGATGGGTAGACTGCAAAAATTTTTTCCCATTCTGTTGGTTGCCGATTCACTCTAGTGACTGTTTCTTTTGCCGTGCAGAAGCTGTGGAGTTTGATTAGGTCCCATTTGTCTATTTTGGCTTTTGTTGCCAATGCTTTTGGTGTTTTGTTCATGAAGTCCTTGCCTACTCCTATGTCCTGGATAGTTTTGCCTAGATTTTCTTCTAGGGTTTTTATGGTGCCAGGTCTTATGTTTAAGTCCTTAATCCATCAGGAGTTAACTTTAGTGTAAGGTGTCAGGAAGGGGTCCAGTTTCAATGCAGAACATTTTTCTTGTTTCTATCAGGTGTATGGTTTGTCCTTAAGAAGCACAACCTGAACTTGAAGACGATTTGTTATTTTCCACCGTCCCAGTGGGTGCAGTGGTGGCTTTGTCTGGCTCTCGCTGGAGAAGCCCACGGGACACACGTGGTAGGAGGCATCCTGACTCCACAAGTGGGAGCAGGGTTTAGTACCTAAGGATGTCTCGTGCCTGCCAGGCTCTCGATGTTGTGGCTGGCAAAGTGGGTTTCTGTCTTGAATATCTCTTCAAAGGAAATCCTCCTTCTGTCTTGGAAAGGCCAAGGGAGCTGTAGACACAGCACTGGCTCAACAGCCCCTGTGCGGCCCCCTGCGTCTGCTCTGCAGAAGAACCCTTGCTCTTGGTAAATGATTGACTTGTAGGAACCTCATCCATCCAGCTTGCATTTCAGCCTTGCCTTTGCTGCTTAGCTTCTCTTCTGCACTAGGACATAGAGTTCTTTCCCTGGTCCAGAGGCTAAGAGTTGACAGGAGGGAAAGGCCTGCAGGGGTCCCTGGTGACCCGCCAAGAGCCGTACCAGAAGCCTTTGGACTGTGAGAGTGTGGGGAATGTGTGTGGAGGGGGTGTGGCTATGAACAGGTGGCATCTTGGAAGGCACTTCCTTGGTGGCCCTGCCTGGTGGGTTAGGCTGGGCCCCTGCTGTGGCCTGGAAGCCCAGATCTACAGCAGGCCTGGGCTATGGTTCTGGTTATGAGGCCACCCCCGTGTGACCTGTGCACCTAGCTCCTGGGGCCACATCTGTCCCAGTGCAGTTCTAGCTTAAGGTTGCCCAGCCAGCATGGGTCCTTAGCGGGCCAGGAGGACAAGTCTGAAAACCAGTAGCCTAAGCTTGGATTGTCCCTCTGAATCCAAATAGCAGCAAAACAATGTATAGAATTGTCTTATGGAATTTACCACATTTCAGACCACACAGATTAATATTTCTAATAACTTTGTAACTTCTTGTAAGAGAAAAGGATATAAACAATGAAGCCAATGTCATCCCCTTTTGTAGACAGATGTTTGTATTTTTGTGATGGCTTGAGGCTGTGTTGAGCAGGAGATTGCCGAAGCCACCTAGCCAGCCTCCCTTGGCCGGTCAGGGGTTGCCCTTTCCATCAGTGCTTAATCCTGGAGGAAAAGCAAGTCCATGTGTGAAACTGATAACCAAACCCAGGCTCTCGAGCTGCTGGATGCCCAGTGAGCAGTGGACAGCAGCTCCGTCTCGGCGCTTAGAGACCCACAGGGCAAGCCACCCACTCTCGGGGCCCCCTCCCCGCTCCCAGTCCAGACCCCGGCGGCCCCTCACTTCCACTGTGTCAGCGCCTTCCTTCCTCAAGGCAGTGCCGCTGGAGACATGAGGCACAGGCCCGCAGCCACGTGACACGGGCCAACTGTCACTCCACAGCATACACGACAATGGGAAGAAGGCCGGGCTGTATAAAGAGAACCTGCTGCTGCGGGGCTGCACGCTCAGGAACACGGATGCGGTCGTCGGCATCGTCATCTATGCAGGTAGGCGCGGGCCCCCGGCACCACCTGCTGCCACTCGCGCTGTGCTCTCCGGGCTGCTCCCTCACTGCGTTCCGATGAGGAGAATAGCATGGCCGGGGCGCGGTGCCTCATGCCTGTAACCCCAGCGCTTTGTGAGGCTGAGGCGGGCAGATCGTGAGGTCGGGAGTTTGAGACCAGCCCAGCCAACAGAATGAAGCCCCATCTCCACAAAAAAAAGTAGCCGGGGCATGGCGGTGCGTGCCTGGTAGTCCCAGCTACTCGGGAGGCTGAGACAGGAGAGTCACTTGAACCTGGGAGGCGGAGGTTGCAGCGAGCTGAGATCCTGCCACTGCACTCCCCATCCAGTCTGGGCAACAGTGACACTCCGTCTCAAAAAAAAAAAAAAAAAGGAGCGTAACATATTCCCCTGTTGTAGAAAGTTTGGAAAACTACGAAAATGGAAAGAAGGCAAAGCAAAAATTCTTTTTTTTTTTTTTTTTTTTTTTGAGACGGGGTTTCGCTCTTGTTACCCAGGCTGGAGTGCAATGGCGCGATCTCAGCTCACCACAACCTCCACCTCCTGGGTTCAGGCAATTCTGCCTCAGCCTCCTGAGTAGCTGGGATTACAGGCACACACCACCATGCCCAGCTAATTTTTTGTATTTTTAGTAGAGACGGGGTTTCACCATGTTGACCCGGATGGTCTCGATCTCTTGACCTCGTGATCCACCCACCTCGGCCTCCCAAAGTGCTGGGATTACAGGCTTGAGCCACCGTGCCCGGCCAGCAAAATTTCTTCCAACGGTACCTCCGCCCAAAGCGTTCTTTCTTGGCAGGGTGGCGTATTTTTTCCACTGCTTTCTCCACAGTCATTATATGTATAAGACTAATTTAATTTAACTTTCATTCATTTTATTGTATTTTCAGACCTGTTCAACAGGACGTAAGATGAATTGTACCGAGCTTCTCACCTAAGCACCAGCGAATGGCAGCGTGGAATTCCCTCCACGCCGCCCGTGCGGCTAGCTGGTCCCTTAGCTCCGGGTTCGGACTCACCATGTCCCTTTGTCCTCCCCGACAGGACATGAGACCAAGGCTCTGCTGAACAACAGCGGGCCCCGCTACAAGCGAAGCAAGCTGGAGAGGCAGATGAACTGCGACGTTCTCTGGTGTGTGCTGCTTCTTGTTTGCATGTCTCTGTGTTCAGCGGTTGGTAAGTTTCCCAGACAGATCGGAAATGAACGGGGACCAGGCCAGTGGCTCATGCCTGTAATCCAAGCCCTTTGGGAGGCTGAGGCGGGCGGATCACTTCAGGTCAGGGGTTCGTGACCATCCTGGCCAACAGGATGAAACCCTGTCTCTACTAAAAATACAAAAAAAAAAAAAATTAGCCAGGTGTGGTGGCTCAAGCCTGTAATCCCAGCACTTTGGGAGGCCCAGGCAGGTGGATCACGAGGTCAAGAGACCAAGACCATCCTGGTCAACATGGTGAAACCCCATCTCTACTAAAAATACAAGAAATTAGCTGGGCATGGTCTTGCGTGCCTGTAATCCCAGCTACTCGGGAGGCTGAGGCAGGAGAATTGCCTGAACCCAGGAGGTGGAGGTTGCGGTGAGCCAAGATCGCGCCATTGCACTCCAGCCTGGGTAACAAGAGTGAAACGCTGTCTCAGAAAAAAAAGAAAAAAGAAAAGAAAAAGAAAAATACAAAAAAAAAAAAAAAAATCTTATCCAGGCATGGTGCTCATGCCTGTAGTCCTGGCTACTTGGGAGGCTGAGGCAGGAGAATCACTTGAACCTGGGAGGTGGAGGTTGCATTGAGCCAAGGTCATGACACTGCACTCCAGCCTGGATGACAGAGCAAGACTCTGTCTCAATTTAAAAGAAAAAAAGAAAGAAAAGCAATGAATGGGCTCCAGGTGAGCTTGGCTGGCTGCCCCCCACATGCAGACCTAGCACCCAATAGTTGAAACACCAGTTTTTCACTGACTTGAACTCAAGGGCGGCCGGCATCAGCATAGGCCACATGGAAACACCTGGAAGAAAGGTCACGCAGAGTATAGCTGTCCCGCGGTATCCATGGGGGGTTGGTTCCAGGACCCTGCCATACTAAGATCTTCAGATACTCAAGTCCCTGACACAACGTGAGATAGTATTCACATATAACCCACCTATACCTTCCCATATACTTTAAATCAGCCATCCCCAACCTTTTTGGCCCCAGAGACTGGTTTTTTTGGAAGACAATTTTTCCACGGATGTGGAGGGTAGTGGGGAATATGGTTCTGGGGTGGAACTGCGCCACATCATCCGGCACTAGTTAGATTCTCATCAGCATGTGCAGCCTGGATCCCTCCATGGGCGATTCACAGTAGGGTTCCTGCTCCTGTGAGAAGCTCATGCTGCTGCTGATCTGACGGGAGGGGCAGCTCACCTAAGCACCAGTGAATGGCAGCGTGGAATTCCCTCCACGCCGCCCGTGTGGCTAGCTGGGCACAGTGACCTGTGCACCTGGGGGAATGCTCACTCACCTGCCGCTCACCTGCAGCTGTGCAGCCCAGCTCCTGACAGGCCATGGACCAGTCTGCAGCCTTGGGGGTAGGGACCCCTGCTGTAAATCGCCTCTAGGTTACTTATAATGCCTGATGCAACGTAAATGTCATGTAAGTAATTGCTATAATGTGTTGTTTAGGGAATATACACAGATAGCATCTTTTCCTCCTAATATTTTCTGGTCCATGGTTGGTTGAACCCATGGATTTGGAACCCACAGATACAGAGGGCCGACTGTAAGGCGATTTTCTGAATTGACAGTTTCTTAGTGGAAGAATGCGTTCGTCACGGCAGTGGTGACGATTCCAGGGGAAGAAGTTTTAGTAAGTTGGTGCCAAACCGAGGCTACTAGCAGGAGAAGCACAGATGTGACTCATGAGAACTTCCTGAAAAGAGAAACAAGAAGTGGCTTTGGATTCTAGGAAGGGGCCAGCAGTTAGGTTCCACGTGGGCTCACACAAAGTGGGTGTGATGTGATCTTGGCCCAGTGGCACGAGATACAGATGTACAGGGCATGAAAGAGGCTTCTGCTTCCAGACAGGTGTAGGTCCAGTGGGTTAGGAATGTGCATGACTGCTGGTTCCCAGAGACTCCCATATGTGAAGCGTGAATCTCTGGAAAGGACGGTAACGACAGCGTCCGAGCCCACTGACTTTTTTTTTTTTTTTTTTTTTTTTTTTTGCTGTGCATTTCATGAGACTGGTGTTTTTTGAGATGCGTGTTGAGAAATTCTGTCTTGGGGCCTCAGACACACATATGTGTGTGCTGCCAGCACACACATAGCTCTGGGTTGGGACAAGTGCTACCACTTAGCACCATCAGTGGGAAATGCCCAGTGTAGGAAGAGACCGAGTCCCAGCTCCTTCCTGAAGTTGGATCGTAGGTGCCAAGAACATTGTGTCTCTTTGTTTTCTGACAAGGCAGAGCTGGCGGAAAAAGCCAGATGTGCCTGCATCCGGTAACAGATGTTAAAGGGCTGCTTTAATATACGCTGGAAACGTTGTGATTTTTCCATTGGATGAATGACATTTCTCTTTGAACGTCACTACAGGACATGGACTATGGACGTGGCGGTATCAAGAGAAGAAGTCCTCCTTTTATGTCCCCAACTCTGATGGAAGCTCCTTGTCCCCAGTCACAGCTGCAGTCTACTCCTTTCTAACCATGATCATAGTTCTGCAGGTAACAACTCTAAGTGTCGCACGATAATCGCTTCCCTTTTCTGAACAGAACTTAAAGTCGCCCTACTCTGCTCAGAATTCCCTATAAATTCTGCCTCTGGGGGGACCGCAGATACATCTGCCAAAAGTTCTGCCTTTTTTTCCCCTCGTAAATCGTCTGTGGGATCCTTCCTTGGGTGATTTGTAAGTTAAAATTCTCCTTTTCTGTTCGTAAGATTCTTGCGCTTTGAGGGTTCTGTCTGGGTCGTTTTCATTTTGTTGTTTTTCCTTTCAGTTACTTTTAAAAAAAAAATAGATTTTATTTTGCAATGATTTTAAGATTTACAGAAAAGTTGCAAAAGTCTTTGCAAAAGTCTTTGCAACTTTAGTGTAAATCTTAAAATCATTCCAAATAAAATTTAGTTTTCTAAATAAATTTTACACTGAAGTTTCCATACGCCCCTCACCCGGCTTCCCCTAATGTGAACACATTCCGTTGTCACAGGACATTATGGAAACCAAGGCGCCAACTTTAGTCCTTTGCTTTTTTGTTTTGTTTTGGTTTCGTTTGATTTGGTTTTCTATGGCAGAGCCTCGCTGCGTCGCCCAGGCTGGAGTGCAATGGCGCAATCTCGGCTCACTGCAACCTCCGCCTCCTGGGTTCAAGCAATTCTCTTGCCTCAGCCTCCCAAGTAGCTGGGATGACAGGTGCGTGCCAAACGTCTAGCTGATTTTTGTATTTTTAGTAGAGACGGGGTTTCACCATGTTGGCCAAGCTGGTCTTGAACTCCCAACTTCAGGTGATCTACCTGCCTCGGCCCCGCAAAGTGCTGGGATGACAGGCATGAGCCGCTGCACCCAGCCCGGTCCTTTGCTTTGAACAAAAAACTCCAGACTTCTCTCAGATTCCACCAGTCTTTCCATAAATGTGCATTTTCTGCGCCAGCTTTCAGTTGAGGTTATTCCCTTGCATTTATCTGCACTTGTTATTATTACTATTATAAATTCACATGCCTTCGTGACGTAGAAAGTCAGTGACTGGCTGTCTGTGCTCAGACAGGTCTGTGAAAGCGTGGGGAAGGTCCCAGGGTCCGGAGGGCGAGGGGGCAGTGAGATCACCACCACCCTTCTCGGGAACTCGGTGACCAGCGACACTGGCTCAGCCTTTGCCTCAGAGGGAACCTTTGCTGTCTCTTATATGTACTTCACACGCCAGGAAACAGTCTTCTTTGACTCTCTACATCCATTTATTTTTTTTCTTAATAAATGCAAATTCCACTCTAGCCTTGCGCTAGGAGTGTAGTCTGTGTTTCGTTAACACACTTCAGTGCCCAGGAGAACCGAGGGCGTGTGGGTGTGATATTCTGAGTCTGTAAACATTAGTTCGGTGCCATTACTCAACAAAAATAAATGAGTAAATAAACATTAATTTTGAGGAGAATTGTTCTTAAATGATGAAAACATCACTGAATGATTTCTCAAAGCCTCTCTCCCTTTCCTCTGCATTGTACAAGAGCACAGAATCACGAGCCCAGCGTCTGGAAAAAGACGGCTGTGTTTGCACTGCTCCCTGACCTTGGGGTTGTGTCCCCGGGGGACGGGAGCGCAGGGGGGCCCGGGTTCGAATGCGCCGTGCAGCGTGTGCAAGCTGGCCTTGCGTGTGAGGACTGACTGTGCCGTGATGTGTCCCCTCTCTTCTCTCTCCTGTCCTAGCCCCTCCCAAGCACAGCTGCTTGCTGCTTTCCAAGCCTCAGGCAGCACGCTTCCGGACGCCATAGTGGAGCCCGCTCTGCAGCTCCTGCATAAGCTGTCCTAGTTTATTCTCTTTGCCAATACTCTCACTTTTCCAATCCTGCCACTAAACCAACCTGTTTAAGCTCTGAAAGGTACAGTATCGTCCCGACTTCCTTGCCATCATAGTCATTTGTTATTTAAAGAGATCGACTAACTCCCCAGCTCCCCGGTGCCCACGGTCATTCATCCTGGGTGCCTCGTCTCTTCTAGGTTTTGATCCCAATTTCCTTATACGTTTCCATTGAGATCGTGAAGGTATGCCAAGTGTACTTCATTAACCAGGATATGCACTTGTACGACGAAGAAACAGACTCGCAGCTGCAGTGCCGAGCTCTGAACATCACGGAGGACCTGGGCCAGATACAGTACATCTTCTCAGACAAAACTGGCACCTTGACAGAGAATAAGATGCTTTTCCGAAGATGCACTGTGTCTGGTGTAGAATATTCTCATGATGCGAATGGTGAGTCCAGGGGTGGGGGGGCTCCCAAGCTGGGCTGAACCAGAAAGCTGCCCTATCCAGAGCTGCTTGGAGACACTCACACACACAGAGAGACACAGAGAGAGAGACACACACAGAGAGAGAGACACAGAGACAGAGACAGACAGAGAGATACACACACAGAGACACACAGAGAGAGAGACACACACAGAGACACACACAAAGAGACACACAGAGACACACACAGAGAGAGATACACACACACACATACATATACACAGAAAGAGAGAGAGACAGAGACACAGAGAGAGAGAGAGACACAGAGAGAGACAGAGAGAGAGAGATGCACACACACACAGAGACACACACACAGACACACAGACACACACAGAGAGAGACACAAAGAGAGATACACACACACACACACACACATACATATACACAGAGAGAGAGAGACAGAGAGAGACACACAGAGAGAGAGAGACACAGAGAGAGACAGAGAGAGAGATACACAGAGACACACACAGAGACACACAGAGACACACACAGAGAGAGACACAGAGAGAGAGATACACACACACACACACACACACACAGGCTTCAGGGATTACTGATTTTCAGGGGAGTATAGACACCGCCGTCAGAGCAGCTCAAGCGCCTGAAGCCTGGCGCCATTTATAGAGCAGGCAGTGGCACGGCCGCCTGCCCTGTACCAGCAGGGTCTGGAGTGCCAGGCATCCTCTTAAGCAAGCAGGAAGCCACCCTCGAGGAGCTCACTTCAAGGCATCCCATCGCCTTGCTCTGCCACAGCAAGGGACAAAGAGACGTTTCTCTTAGCCACCCATTTTCTAGTCATCAGCTGAAAATCCTCAGAAGGGCACGGGCTCATTCATGCTGCATTCTCTCCCCTGGGACAGTGTCCCTGGGAACTGGAAAGAAAGGAATCGCCTCACTCCCACTGACTGAATCGGTCCCCACTCCCACCTCTCCCTTCCCCGTCCGTGGCTGCCTCCCTCCGACCTGGTGCCTCTGGGGAAACGTCAGCTGCCAAAACCCAGGGTGCGGACCGGGGTCCCTGCCACGGAGGTGCCCGGGGCTGCAGCGCCTCGGGAACAGGTGCCCTACCGCATCCCGGGCTCCACGTCCTGCCTGCAGCGGACACGGAGACCATGTGACAGAAATAGCAAATTGAAACGGGGCAGAGAATGCGAGTGGCCAGACTAGGAAGCTGCTCTGTAGAGGGGTTTGGTGGGAGGCATCCGTCGGATACCTGCCATTTTCGTGAGTTTTTTTTTAAAACCAAGGATTATCATGGAAGCCATAGTCTTCCTCAACATAAAATGAAAGCAGTCATAGCAAAGAGATGGCAGAGGAACTGACCCACTCTGTTTAAACTTTAATTTACACCCGAAATAGGTGGTCAGTGACCGTATTCCATCCACTCGCCCAACCTCCCTCCCACCAGCCTCCTTCGGCCTCCCTCTCCTCCCCTTTTCCCTTCTCTTTCTCTCCTCTCCTCTCCCTCCTTCCTCCTCTTCCTCTCCCATAGTTGCTAAACCTGGTGCTAAACCTCAAAAGCAGAGCTCAGCAGAGTCATGAAGGGATCAGAGACCCGGGCGGTCGGTCCTGCTGCAGCCCGATTCAGACCGACGTGAGGAATAGGTTTTGAGATCTGTTGCACAGCCGGGTGACCAGAGGCAATAAGAATGCATTCTACGTTTCAAAATAACCGAGAGACTAAATTTGAACTCTCACCACAAAAGCATGATACATGAGCGCAGTGACAGATTTGTTAATCGGCATAATTTAATCATGCCACATGCACACATGCAACGTCACATTGCAGCCTGTAAATGTATACAGTGTTGACTTATCAATCAACAATACATTTGAAAGATAATAATAAAGCTGGATGCTCAGGCTCCCCGGGGCAGGATACCAACTTAGATTACAGAAATATTCTGACAGTCCCAAATGCTACCGTAAAACCAGAGTGTCCTTGCCTCCAAAGACACAGGGAGTGTTTCCGGTGATTGATGAAACCTCGTGCCTCTTAGCAGGTGTTTTAAAGGCATGCCTGGATCAGCTGTTGACAGGCACCCAGGCAGGGAGTGTCATCAGCCAGTTATCTTGTGGTCTGACCTCTCCAGATCTAACCCATAAGGGATTTCAGAGGGACTCTGAGTCCCAAGCCCTGCTTACGGACCGGAACCGGCTATGGAAGCCTTGGGTGTGCCCTGTGACAGCCTGACCTGATGACCTGGAGCTGGCTGGCTGTGCAGGCCCAGGAGGAGCCACTGCCTGCTCCTTTTCGAGGGACATGGAAGGCATCCCTGGGGCCACCGCCGATCAGAAACTGCTTCACAACAAACACCAGCACAGCAGCCATGGCCCCCACAGCCTCCAAGGGAAGGAGGAGGCCCTGAGGGATGGTTCCGTGGAGTTCCAGACCTGCAGGACCACTGCTGGGGGAGGGTGGGACGGGTGGGTCCACTTTCCTGGAGGCTGAAGCCCAGCCCCTCACCTCACGCTGGACAGAGTCAGGTGTCCGGGTTTTGTGTGTCCTTGCTTATGGTGCACTGGGCTGACATCACCTGAGAGCTGGTGAGACGTCCTGGGGGGGGCATCTGCTTCTGGAATTAGGGTCTCCCTGAGTTGGATTCCTGGCACTGGCGAGTACTTGGCCTTGTGACAGTGGGCAGGTGACTTCCCCTTTTTGTCCCCTTTTCTCATCTCTCACGGAGGGTCTATTAAGAGCCTGGTCCACGTGGCTGGCCAGCTCCACTCCACTGGTGTCTCCCTGTCTGGCCTCTCGACAGGCCAGCTGCTTCAACTCAGCACCATGTCTGTGCTTGAAGTTCTGATTAAATGCTTGTTTTGATGAGTCATCCTCATGAATGGCCTCCTTTCTGCTCAGCCACGGAGAAACAAGCTGTCCTCACTGGGCAGAACCCAGAAAACTGGTTCAGAGCTGTGGGTTAGCAAGAGCCGGGGTTAGCAAGAAGCCGCAGAGCAGGCACCTCTACAGGGGTGCTGGGCGCGTGCACCAGGTCATGGGGAATTTGCTCAGCACGGCCCCCTGTAGCCATGAGCACAACCTCACGCTCAGGTCCCCTGGGATGGAGTTTCAAAGCTGAGTCCAAACCCTGGCCTCAGGGCTGCAAGCTGGGCAGCCCAGGAGTGTGAGCCCCTGTAGCAGCCATAGCACACGTCCAGACAGGAGCAGGCGGTGCCTACAGCCCACGCGGCCCTGATAAAGGAGCCCGGCGTGACTGGAAGGCCCGCCACCCTCCCTGCCCCGGCCACCTGCACCCTACCCCACATACACCTAGGCACTTCCTGAACAGAGGGGCTGCGCGTGAACCCGTTCCCCTTCCCCTCACTGGTGCGACCTTAGAAAGCCCTGTAAGACCTCTGAGATGAAAGCCAGTCTTCTCGTCTGTGAAAACAGTTGAGACTCTCAGCCTCCCCAGGTTGCAGCCAATTGAGGTTGTTCTCTAGCCCTTGCTGTTACTGAACGAGGCTGGTGAGTGCTCCAGGGCTGCCCTGCCGGCCGGAAGCCTCATGGAACCTAAAACACCCCGAAAGGGTTCTGTGTGCCCAGCCTTCTCCCACCATGTCTCACCCTACACCCTCTGTCCACAGCGCAGCGTCTGGCCAGGTACCAGGAGGCAGACTCGGAGGAGGAGGAGGTGGTGCCCAGAGGGGGCTCCGTGTCCCAGCGCGGCAGCATCGGGAGCCACCAGAGTGTCCGGGTGGTGCACAGAACCCAGAGCACGAAGTCCCACCGGCGCACGGGCAGCCGGGCTGAGGCCAAGAGGGCCAGCATGCTGTCCAAGCACACGGCCTTCAGCAGCCCCATGGTGAGTGCTCGGGGCCTCCTGCTAGGGCGCTGCCACATCCCTTCCCCACTTGTACCGTCGTCCCCCGCTCATTGAAGGTGTCTATATTTAATCCTACACTGTCGCTGGGCGTTTGGCTCTACTCAGCAGAAGCTTTTCCAGCCAACACTTCATCTCCACCGTTGTCTTTTCCAAGACACTGACACGGCCCCTTTGCCATGGCTTCTAAAGCTGGTTGATTGCTGGCGAGCCATCCAGAAAGGGTGACAAAGAGGAAGCCCCGTGCTGCCAGATGAAGCAAGTAAAACCTCAGGACAAGAGGACAACAGCTAAAAAGCAAAGCCAACCCCTCCGGAGGGAGTTTTCATTAGATGAGCCCAAATCCATGAAACGCTTTCTACCTGGCCTTGTCAGCCTCCCGGCCATGAATGGACAGACCACATCTGTCATCCGTCATCCGCCATCCGTCATCCTCCATCCGTCATCTGTCATCCGTCCATCCGCCATCCGTCATCCGTCATCGGCAGGGAGAAGCGCGGAAAGAGCAATAGCCTCTGCGAGAGCCTTTCCCTTCCGAAACGTCTTCCCAACACTGCAGGGAGGAAGAATCCCCCTTCCTCACTCTGTGGTGGCCTCGTTCTCTTATGTGCTTCTAAACCCACGGAGAAGCTGCCATCTAAGCACGGGTGATCTAGAGTTGCAGACACTGATTGGTGGGTTTCTGCAGGGCCCCTTGGAGCGGGGGTCTCCCGCTTGGCAGGAGGGAGTCTACATTGGAACAGAGTTTCTGGTGGGTTTCTGCAGGGCCCCTTGGAGCGGGGGTCTCCCGCTTGGCAGGAGGGAGTCTGCATTGGAACAGAGTTTCTGGTGGGTTTCTGCAGGGCCCCTTGGAGCGGGGGTCTCCCGCTTGGCAGGAGGGAGTCTGCGCTGGGACAGGGTTTCCTGACAGCATTTTTCAGTACCATTCAAGAGTATTTGAAGTATTCAAACCTCCCCTAGCCACTTAGCGATTCAGCCAGAGACTGCTGCATATGGAAGTGTATCAATGTGTAAATTACATCAGCAAAACGGAAAGAAATTTAAATATCCACGGATAAAGGGATGATCAAATAAATGATGACATGTCCATTTTGAAGTTGTTGAAAAGGCGTTTTTTAATAATTCTTAAAAGTCCGGAGAAGTTCAGACCATTAATAATGTCTTGGGGAGAACGGAAGCCACCAATATGTATATAAAACGTTTTGCTTACATAAAATGTAAACGTGGAGCGTAAAGACTAGAGGGCAGTGCTGAAGCGTGTTTTCCACAAAGTAGACAGAAGCTAGATACATTTCGTGCAATTAACATGACGATTTACAATTATAAAATGACATATACGTGTATGAGAGATGAAGTTCTGTTCACAGCAAAGCACCTTACACAGTCACGCCCCAAGACGCTGGGCAGGCTGCTGGTTGGGACTCACGGCCAGCCTCCCTTTCTCCCCAGGAGAAGGACGTCACGCCCGACCCGAAGCTGCTGGAGAAGGTGAGTGAGTGTGACAGGAGCCTGGCCGTGGCGAGGCACCAGGAGCACCCGCTGGCCCACCTCTCCCCCGAGCTGTCTGACATCTTCGACTTCTTCATTGCACTCACCATCTGCAACACGGTGGTCGTCACGTCCCCGGATCAGCCACGACAGAAGGCAAGTGCTGCGTGTCCCTGAACTTGACCTTGACATTCTGCGCTGCGGGGCCATGGCTGTCAGTCCTCCTGAGGGAGGGCGGGTGCCCGTCCCTTTCCTGCGGCAAGTGCGTTTGTCACCTTTTGGGCCTCGGGGACACAGCAGGTTGCTTCACACTGGGCCAAACAGCCCTTGTGGTTCCGCAGTGCCCGCCCCAGACCTCAGTGGGCAGGGGCCAAGGGTGGGGCCAAGTGGGAGGGGACAGCCCACCAGAGATGGCCTCTGATCCTGGGAGTGGAGGGACACAGGGCCACCTGGGCCAGCGTTGCGTAGGCAGGTGGGTATGTGGAGGCCCCGCCTGCCTGGGTCCTTCCTCCGCTGCCTGGCCTGGAGCAGGGCCTGAGGGAAGCTGCCCAAGACAACCCCCCAGAGCCTCAGGGTCCCAGATCCACGCAGGAGAGAGCACAAGGCAGGCAGCGGGGCAAGGGGCGGCCTCTGGGACGGGGAACTGGCACATGGATCCTGACTGCCAGCCAGGCAGCAGGAGACACACTAGCCCCACCCTGTGCCTCAGGAGTCTGCCTGGGTTGTGGGGCCATGGGGAGGATTTCTGGAGGCATCTAAGATTGTTGTTCAGTGAGAAGTGGTCGAGGATCCATCAGACGTTATTTAGGATCCTGGAAATCCAGCAGTGCTCAGATCGGTTTGGGTTCCGTCTGACATTCAGGTTTGCTCCTGAGAGAGGAGGGGTCGTTTGGGTGAAGGCTCCTCTATCACCCAGTACGCCAAGAAAGCCCTGAGGTGCACCAAGCACTGAGGGTACCGAGGGCCGGGTGTGTGCTGCAGGCCTCCCAGCCCCCCAGCTCTCCCAGGATTCCTTCCCAGCCTCCTGGATCAGCTCTTCCAGCAGGTTCCTCAGCAGGTGATGAGGGTGAACGAGGTGGCCTGTATTTTCTGTGCTGCGGCAGCGTGTCTGGCAGTCCCTGGTGCCAGTGACTTCTAAGTGGACAGGCCTGGCCACTCAGAGACCGACAGGCTTGAGGCCTGTGGCTGCGGCCCTGGGCTGGAGCTGCTTCCCAAAGCCACAGCTCATCTCCTGGCTGCCTCGGCATCCCCTGTCTGGGCTCTAGGCTCTGCCCGCAGTGTTAAAACTCTTGTGGCGTGTGTCTCTGCAGAAGCGCCCCTTTTCTGGGTTAGACCCTGCCTGGCAGATGTTAAGTGAACGGTGAGAGACCACAGCACCATCGAGGCTTGTGCTGACGGTTACACGTGCTGGAGTTCCACCTAGGGGCCAGCCCGGCAATCACCCGCACTCAGGCTGCAGGCCAACATGTCTCTGGGTGCATTTCTGTTCCCACACATTGGCGGGTGAGCGTCACCCTGGAGGACATTTGGAGGCAGCAGGGATTGCCACACGGCTGCCTGTGCCTCCCAGCTGGCTGTGCGGCATATTTAAAGTCCCGGCAGGAACCCCTGACTTTTCTGGAGACGGTTACTGAAATTCACAGCTTAGGATGCAGAGGTAAACTGCAGTGTTAAGAATTGCTGATTCAGTGTTTTGGTGGTTTTGACATTTGCTCTTTCAATAAAGAGCAAAAAAAAAAAAAAGTGTGGCTCTGTTGCTCTGTCATTGAGCTTTTTGAAACTTTAACGTGTGGGGTGTGTGCGTGCGTGTGTGTGTGTGTGTGTGTGTAACTCTTTGTTTCTTACTGTAGTGGCTAAAATATTTCAGTGACTGGAATCCTCAATTTGTCAGTGTATTTAATGTGCTTAGAAGGATTCTTTGGGGCCTGGAAATGTGATTTATATACTAGTTTTTTTAATAGACATATTCAAAGGAAGTATAAACTGGTGGTTTGCTAAGCGGCTTTTTAATTGGGGAAAAAATGCCCCGTTTCGTGGCAGGCAATGGTGAGCCTGCTCCTCTGAGCTGCTTTTGCAAAGCAAGGAGACATGGTAGTACAAGGACAGCACCAATGAGCCCTGCAGACGCCACCGGCTGCAACTCCCCGCTCACATCGAGCCTCCCTGGTGGGCCCTTGGCAATCGCATTCTGAAAGAATCTTGCATAACCTTTGTTTAAGAGAAGTGGACGAGGCCAGCAGACGATCTCAAGGAAGGAATGCTGTCTCTGCCTACAGTTTCAACGCAGGCCTGAAATCTGGGAAATGAGAAATGTGTGCTCTGAGCCCCCAGTGGGGAAGTCGAGGCCATTGTTCCTCCAAGCGCCTGGAGCATGCTGTGGGAACCTGGTGGGACCTCTGGGACACGGCGGTTCCCTCACTTGCCTTCTGACCTTTTCTCTTGCAGGTGAGGGTGAGGTGTGAGCTGAAGTCCCCCGTGAAGACAATAGAGGACTTCCTGCGGAGGTTCACGCCCAGTCGCCTGGCCTCAGGCTGCAGCAGTATCGGGAGCCTGGCCAGCACCAAGTCCAACCACAAGTCAGGCTCCAGCTTCCTGTCCACTCTGTCCAGCGACAGCATGCTTCTCAGGCTGGAGGAGAGGCTGGGCCAGCCCGCCCCGGCCATCGCCAGCAACGGCTACAGCAGCCAGGCGGACAGCTGGGCCGCGGAGCTCGCTCAGGAGCAGGAGCCGGAGCGCGAGCTGCGGTACGAGGCGGAGAGCCCGGACGAGGCGGCGCTGGTGTACGCGGCCAGAGCCTACCGCTGCACGCTGGTGGACCGGCTGCACGACCAGGTGTCGGTGGAGCTGCCCCACCTGGGCAGGCTGACCTTCCAGCTCCTGCACACGCTGGGATTCGACTCGATCCGCAAGAGGATGTCCGTTGTGATCCGGCACCCGCTCACCGGCGAGATCAGCGTCTACACCAAGGGGGCCGACTCGGTGCTCATGGACCTCCTGCTGCCCTGCTCTTCAGGTACCCCGCCCCTGCCCAGCACACCCCAGCTGCAGGGGGAAGTCCTGAGACATATCCCCCGATTCCTTCTCTTAAGTGATTTTCATTCCGTCTCTTAATCCTTTTCCTAAAGCAGTGCCCATCAGAGAATTGCACGGTTTCTTCAGGTCACTGCCTGTTTGAAGGGTCTGGACTAGAAAGACCCTTTCTCCTGGTCTGCCCATGCCTGGACACCCCCACCTCCAAGAATGGGGGGTCAGAGGATACTTGGGGAGTGTCAGGTTTCAAATCTGAACAATGAAGGTTGAGAATCTAGATAATCGCTCTAGAAAGTTCTTCCTTCCCGTGGACCTGGGCCAGCTGAAAGGTCCAGGCCACAGTTTGTGGGGCTGCTTTGGGCCACGGTGGGGGTCCAGGAAGTGAGGGCTGCTGGCATCACGCACTGCCTTCTGTTCCGGGACTTGGGAGGGGAAGGGCCAAGCCCCCCTCATAAAGCGACCCGGGCTGCCCCTGTCTCCCTCTGTGCTTGGAGGAGGTAGGAGCGCAGCCCCCCTTCCCCGGGGACTGAATTGGGTGGAGAGGAGGAGGCTGTAGCAGCTGGGGGCCCCACCGCGGCTCTGCTGTCTGCCACGGGCCTCCTAGTTGCCGCAGCCTGGAAGCAGCCCCGGGTTGCAGCTGCTGGAAACGCTGCGAGCTGGATGCTCCCCTCCAGAGCTCCGAGTTGGAACTAGGGAGTACTTCACCTCCCACCGGCCTTTCTTGCCAGCATCTCAGTGCCCCAGGACAGGACCCCTGGCACAGAAGCCCAGGACCACTCATGATGGAGAAGTGGGTGGGAGGAGCTTCGTATAGGAAGTCGGTTGCCCATCACAGAGCTGTGACCTCCCTACGGCAGCTGAGCTAGGTCTGCAAACGTCTCTGAGAAGACTGGTTGACCCTCCACGATGGTGGCCGCCGCTCGCAGGGTTTTGCCTTTCTCCCGAGGCTGTGGCTCTGCCCTGGCATCGGCAGAGAATCCGATTCATGGACAGAGTTTGAGTTCTAGGAAGCTGCTGCTTCTGAAAGTGAATTCTTGTTTACATCCACGCAAAAGAAAAACATCAACAGGACCATTAGCCGAGTGATTTCATTTATAGCAAACAATCTCTGTCCTATGCCACAGCCTTGCATTCAAGGCCACATCCTGCATCCTGGCTTCACAGCATGACAGGTCGTGTCTAAGGGGAAGGCATGGAGCGGCCATGGCACGCAGGGTTGCCCGGCGCTGCAGGAGGGGCCTGTCCCATCCTGGAGAGCAGGAAGCCTGCGAGCTGTGCAAGGGAGTTGGCTGAGCAGATAGTGGACGTGACTGTGTTCTGTGAGCAGGACGGGGCCGTGGCTTACCTGCCCTGGCGGGGAGTCGTGCGGTGTCCACCGAGCAGGGACTCCATCCCAACCTATCCTCACAGACCTTGTTCAAATCCCAGGTCTGCACTTGCTGGCTGGGATGACCCTGGACGAGTCACTCACTGTTTCTGTGCCTCAGTTTTCCATCTACACAGGAAATCACAGTGCCTGCCTCACAGGAAGTCCCCACACAAGCCTCCAGCTCAGTGCTGCTGTTATGTTGACATCCAGTGTCTACTCCGTCCTTCTCCCAAGTCTCTGGCTCCTTCCCAGTTAATGCTCACTTGCAGCCAGGCATGGCAGCTCACGTCTGTAATCCCAGCACTACGGGAGGCCGAGGCAGGCGGATGACGAGATCAAGAAGTCAAGACCATCCTGGCCAACATGGTGAAATGCCGTGTCTACTAAAAACACAAAATTTAGCTGGGCGTGGTGGCGTGCACTTGTAGTCCCAGCTACTTGGGAGGCTGAGGCATGAGAATCACTTGAACCCGGGAGGCGGAGGTTGCACTGAGCCGAGATTGTGCCACAGCACTCCAGCCTAGCGACAGAGGGAGACTCCGTCTCAAAACAAGAAAAAAAACAAAAAAGATTCACTTGCTTGTGGTTTGGTGGGGCTGCTACTTTGTGTGGCCCTGAAGGCATAAACCTCAGGCCGCTCTGCCTTCCCCCAGCGTGAGGACGGACTTGGCTGTAGCCCACTGCTGGCCCGGGCCTCACGCAGCGCTGCCGCCGGGTAATCAGTACATTTTTTTTGCATGATGAGTACGTGCATGTGCAAGTGGATAATCCACTTAATTTACCATCTTAATAAGATAACTCCTTATTGGGGAAATACTGCTTGTAAAACTTAGAAGAAATGAATTATCACTTGGAGCAATTTTAAAGCACGTGGTAACATCGTGAAGAGTGGCTACCCCCATCCCTCCGAGGGCCTCTCTGCAGGGCTGCAGGTACCGCCCTCCCACCGTCTCCTGGTGGGGATGCCAGGTGCAGCTGTCTCAGCCCTGCTGTATGTGGGGTCGGCGGGCCCTGGAGTCATCTTCACAGATTGTGACAGGACTGGTCACTGCCCAGAGCTGTGTCCCCACGAACCCTGGACCCAGACACAGCCTTGGGGTCCTGCAGCACAGAGCTGTCCTTTGTCCTTGCCCAGCAGGAGGCACCGGGCAGTGCTGGCCCCACTCCTACAGGTCACCAGAGGGAGACACGCCACAAAGGGCCTGGGATATCAGAAAGAGGGGACTAATAGTGCCTGACCATCGCCTAAAATGCAGTGTGAACACTGCCATGCCTTCAGCCTGAGATCAGCCACCCCCAGCATCACCCCAGCAAGTGCAGAAGCGCGGGGCTGACCAGACACCCCCAAATGCCCTCTGGGGACATTCGGTCAGCGCCGCGCTTCTGCACCTGCTTGTTCCCCAGTAGGTTGCACACCCTTATTCCCCAGCACATTCTCCTTCGGAGGCGCCCCCAGCTCCTCAGGGGTGGTCTCCATGGAGCTTGAGTTCTTCCCATCCTTTCCTACCCTCCATCAGAGTGTAGACCCATCCCAGCCTTCACAAGGGCCCCGCCCTCCAAAGCCCAGCCTCTGTTTTCCACGGTGACTGCCCAGTGGTAGCGGCAGCAGGAAGTGTAAAGGGAAAGTCAGCCAAGCACGAGGGGCAGATCTTGCCGGAAGCGGTGCCGGTGTGTGTCCATGTCTGCAGGAGGGGACAGTGGGCTCGGCCGTTTCTGCCTGGCAGGGCCAGGTGCTCCCCGTCACTAGGCCCTGCACAGAAACACCCCTGTGTCCACCTGAGACACGAACGCCTGTGGGGCCACCCCATCGTCTGGAGCGCCCAGGATCACAAGTGGCCCGTCCTCCCTCCGTGGGCTCAGTGCGTTTCGTTTTGAAGACTGTGATTACTCTCAGTGTCACACCTGAGACCACCGCAGGTCCTAGTGCATGCCGCACGTCACCTCTCCCCGGGACAATGGGAGAGCTTTTCCCTGAGTATTTCAATTCCAAAGCCCCCCAGATAGGCCTGGCTTTGCTCGAAGAACAATCTGATTCTAGGAAAAGGTTATCTGCATCTTCCAAGAATCTTACCACGATACCAGGAATACAAAGCTGCCTTTGGGCACCGTCCTTTCAGAGATGTAAATCTCTAAAGCAAAGGATTCTAGGGCAAGTTTGCTTCTTCCCGTCGACTCCATAAAGAGCCTTTTCAGGCTTTGTTTGCAATTGTCCCCTCATGCCTTTTAATGACATAGATACGTTGTGTATCCGTTTCTGTTACATATGTGTACCTAGGCTTTATACAGAAAGTAAGATTCTTCCACCTCCAAGAACCAATGGTCACTCCCTTGAAGGCTCTGTCACCTGCATGGAAAATGCACCATGGCGAGGGGCGTGTAAAAGTGTCTCTTACCAGGTCCACTTTGTCAGGCGGTGGACTTTGAGTAGTAGACAAGCTTTCCTGGGCCAGGGGCCTCGTGACTGGTCGGTAGCATTGCCAGGTCTCACAAGCAAGATGTATAGAATGTATAATGCAGTTTTTAAGTGACAGTATGTCCTGTGCCATGTTTAGCCATCGTGTGCCATATCTGGCAATGCTACCTGTAAGGACCCTACGTTCTGAGGATAGAAAGTGCACTTTGCACGAAGACTTTCCATTAACAGCAAGAACGTGAGCCTCCATTTAATAGGCAAAAGGACGCCAGAGTACTTTCGACGAAGGTTTATTTTCATGAGATTATTTCAACAAAGGATGTTAGAAACACGCAAACATCAGCCAGACGCAGTGACTCACACCTGTAATCCCAGCACGTCGGAAGCCCAAGGCAGGTGGATTGCTTGAGCCCAGGAGTTCATGAGCAGCCTGGGCAACCTGGCAACACCCCATCTCCATGAAAAAATAAAGAAAAGCAGGCAAACATCTGCATATGGATGAGATTCTTTTTTTTTTACTAACAGCTCATTTTCTCTTTGGATTCTGTATGAAAACTTGTTCTCTGTTCACAAGTAACGAGCGGATGTGGGGTCAATCTCGGAGTGGCTGAAGATCATTCCCAGGGCGCCAGTTCTCACTCGTGTTTCTGCTTCCTCCCCAACCTAGATGACGCCAGAGGGAGGCATCAGAAAAAGATCCGGAGCAAAACTCAGAATTACCTCAACCTGTACGCGGTGGAAGGCCTGCGCACCTTGTGCATCGCCAAGAGGGTGAGTGGGGGTGGCCCCGCGAGGGTGCCCGTGCGGGAGGCCGCCCCACAGTGAGCAGCGCCCGGCGCGGCACTCAGCAGTGTGCCTCCCATAGGTTCTGAGCCAAGAAGAGTATGCCTGCTGGCTGCAACGCCACCTGGAAGCAGAATCCTCCCTGGACAACCGCGAGGAGCTCCTCTTCCAGTCTGCCATTCGCCTGGAGACAAACCTGCACCTGCTGGGTAATTCGCGTGCCTAAGGGGTGTGTGGGGTTCGCAGGGACGGTCCTGGAGGGGTGAGTGCTCTGGTCAGCGGCTGCTCTGCAGGCTGGCCTTGGTTAGGGAGCCGCCTGGCCGGACGCTGGCGCAGCTGGGGCGGGAAGGTGCCTACCTGAATCTTCTCCCATTCTCGTTTCTGTGAGGCGCAGGTGCTGCCCGCCGGGCACCCCAAGACAGCAGCTGCCAAGCCTACCCTTAACTTGCTTTCTCACCAAAAGTAGAGCCAAGGAGTGAGGTTTCTGGCAGCTGGGTGTTGAAAGGACTTCCCTCTCGGGAAACAGGGAAACTTTTGGGACACAGAAACTGCTGCATTTGGCCTCTTAGGAATGTTTCACAGATTCAAGGTGGATGGGAAGAAAATGGGCTTGTTTTCACTGAAATATGTCCACATTTCCTACTGCGCTCTTATCGGTACTTAGTGCTAAGTAGTATCAGGGATACATTGAGGTATTTCTTATGTTAATACGTACTTTACTGCTTAAAATATCTAACTTCCTGTTCATTAAATCATTCGTGACGTTAGCCGAGTCACTGGGCACGTGCTCTGCTGTGTGTCTTCAAGGGGCCGGTTTTGAGGGTGCTGCGCCTGCCTCCGTGCGGGGGGCTGTGGTCAGGTGGTTCTTCTCACGCACAAAGCCCCAGGGACTCCATCTTCACTTAACACAGAAAGGCGGTGTTCACTTGGCCTCCTTTTCTGGGCAGAGAAGTGGGGGGTATTTCTACACGTTGACCCCTGCATTTCTAATATAATGCATAGTTAATATGTGCACTTAATAGCAGAATGTACAATAGGCATAGCATGTGCCTGCGCACATTTTATGTACTGTTTGCCCACCGTATCCGATAGGAGGCCACGCATTACTCAAGACGCCCCGGGATCCAGGGCCCGGTGGCACCAGGAGCGGCAGCCCTGGATGTGAATTCAGTGGAATGCCTGAGAAACGGCAGTGCCTGTTTTAGGCCACGAAGTGCTGGCTTTCACTAGAGGAGGGAGGGCTGCCTTCGTCTGCACTGACTGGGCTTCCTTGGAAGGCAGCGTTGTGCAGGCCTGTGGGATAGGAGGCGGCTGCTGGCTCTCCCCAACGTGCCCGCCCAGCGTCGCTGACCTGCCCGGTTTTTCACCCTTCACTGTGGGGCACCCTCCCCCGGGAGCAGCTTTTCCTCTGGACAGCACTAAGTTCTCAAATGCGGTGAAATTAGCCCTCCTGTGCCTTTTCACAGGCCTGCTGGGCGCACCCCCTGTAGTGCAGACAAAAATCTCCTCCCTTTTCACATGATGAGATCTTGATGATTTCGGGACATGGCTGTGAGTACCAGGCTGCCCCTTCTCCATCCTCCCTGCTCTCAGAGCCCAGGAGCCCTGACTCGGTTGTCCAGCCCTGCACTGACACTGCAGGCTGGTAGTGCAGGCTGGTCATGGAGGCTGGTCGTGGAGGCTGGTCATGGAGGCTGGTCGTGGAGGCTGGTCATGGAGGCTGGTCGTGGAGGCTGGCTATGGAGGCTGGTCATGCAGGCTGGTCATGGAGGCTGGTCGTGCAGGCTGGTCATGGAGGCTGGTCATGGAGGCCGGCCATGGAGGCTGGTCATGGAGGCTGGTCATGGAGGCTGGCTATGGAGGCTGGTCATGGATGCTGGTCATGGAGGCTGGTAGTGCAGGCTGGTCATGGAGGCTGGTCATGGAGGCCGGTCATGGAGGCTGGTCATGCAGGCTGGTCGTGGAGGCTGGTCGTGGAGGCTGGTTATGGAGGCTGGTCGTGGAGGCTGGTCATGGAGGCTGGTCGTGGAGGCTGGTCATGGAGGCTGGTCATGGAGTCTCGTGGAGGCTGGTCATAGAGGCTGGTCGTGGAGGCTGGTCATGGAGGCTGGGTCAAGTGGCCCAGCCCCTTTTGCATCCCAGTTCTGGTATGTGTGGCCGGTAATGCCAGTGTTGTAGGCTCCTGTGAGGGTGAAGGGAGGGATGATGGGAGGCACTGGGTGTAGTACAGGCATGGGGCCAGCTCTCAGCGGCGCGTGGTGACCATCTCCTGTTGGCGCTTCCACGCCGTTTGCACCCGGCTGGCCTGTCCTCTGCAGGCTCTCTCTGGTGGTTGTGTGTCGCTCACGTCTTTTGGCGCAGATGCTATAGCTCTGTTAACATATCCTAGGTCGTTAACAGCCCCTGCTGCCCCCGAGGCTCATGGTGAACTTGAGATCCAGCCACCTTCCTACGTCTTCTTCACAGGGATTTCTTGCTTGGGTTCTGATATTTTTACTCAGGCAACTGTGTGAGAATCTGAAATCGGGGTTTTCTACTGATCCCCGTCCTGCTGCCTCGGAGTGGAGTCACGTCGGGATCCGGGCCATCAACGTTTCTCCAAACTGTGGTCCCACCATGTCCCGCTGTCACCCTCGAGTGGATTCCTTCCCTCCAGGTGCACGTGACGATGGCTCTGGGATGTGTTGACGATGGAACTCCTGGGCTGCCCGCATGGGTGCCAGCCATGCACCGGAGCCTGCTCACGCCTGCCGGCAGAGCCCGTGGATACATTTTGGAGGATTTTGCCATAGCCCACATAAATGTTCGGGAATCACACATCGCCTTTTGATGCTATGTTAGTAGGTTGAAGTCCGCCAAGGTGGGAGTATTTACACCACAGAAATGAGCAAATGCAGTAAATCGGCCTCCCTCCCACAGGCCGTTGTTAAGCATCTCCTGCTACCTGATGTGTTTATGTTTCAAATGACGAGGCCTGAGCTGGAGAGTGTGAGAGCCACCCACCGCCCTGGTGCCCACACAGCTCAAACGCGGGCGCCGCGTGCCAGCTCTTCGGCTTCATTGAGAAAAGTGAAGCAAGCCACTTAATTGTACCACTCCAAAGCCAAACACTCCTTTCCAAATCTTTTTCATTAAGGTACTTTTTTTTTTCTTGCTTCAGGACAGGGTCTTGCTCTGTCATCTGGGCGAGAGTATGGCGGTGCGATCACAGCTCACCGTGAACTCAAATTTCCGGGCTCTAATGCTCCTCCCGCCTCCGCCTCTCAGTGGCTGGGACCACGGGCATGTGCCACCAGGCCCAGATGAATTTTTAATTTTCCTGGTAGAGCTGGCGTCTCATTCGGGCTTGTCTCGAACTCCTGGTTCGACATGAACCTCCCACCTCCGCCTCCCTCAGTGCTGGGATGACAGGCAGGTGCCACTGCACCAGGCCCAGGGCTTATCTGGGCATCAGAGAACCATGCATAGCTATCTTTAGCAGAAAGGATCTCCATTCTCTCCACGCTCTGGAAATTTTCTTTGCCATAATGCTCTGGGCAGGAATCTAAATTCAAAGGACAGTATCCTGCTCATGTCCCCTGGTCCTTGCTAGGTTCTCTAAATGTCTAAAATGTGTCCATTGGTGAAATCCATTCCCCTCCCATTTAATACTGTGTGGCACCAAGCACAGGGCCGCTGGGCTCTGCACACTGCCAACTCCTGTGTTAGGAGACTCAGAAATGCCAGGCCCTCCCGAGGGTCAGGTCCTAAAGACAGTGGCATTTACTCAGAGTCACATAAATCATATCACAAACAAGTACCCTGGAGAGCTGAAGAAAGCCACCGTGCCAGTCATCTTGAAAGGCGGCTCCCTGCACACGTCCTTCCTCTGCTGTTCCATGCCCAGGTGGGCGTCCTCCCGTAACTCCGCTTTTCAGTTCAGTGCTCTTCTGCACCTGACTGTAGACTCACACCTTATAAAGGTGAGGGAAGGTGGGGTGACCCAGTGGGGGCCCATGCGTTTGGCCATTTAGCTACTAAACTAAGGAAGTTGTTTTGTCAAGGCGTCAGCTTTTCCCTGTGGAACAGCAGGCACCCTCCATGCCGGAGCTGCCTGCAGGGCCTTCCCTGCTCTGTTTCTTGGCAGATGTTTGGCTGAGGGCCTCTAGCTCAGCGGCTGGGATGCAAAGAGGGGAGACGCAGGTCCTTGCAGAAGCTGCCATCTCCAGAAGGGTGGGCAACTGCTTGGGTTACGTTCCCCTGGAGAAGTGTTATCGTGGCCAGTTGTCAGGAATCCATCGAGGTTAGCCATGACTAGGCTCCCTCTACCATCGCCATTACCATCACTAAGTATGAATGAATTACCACAAGCACACAGAGGAAGGCAAGTCCATCCTTCTGTCTTCCCCAGACATCAAGGAACCTGTGACACTTAGGATGAGCCAGGGGCCGGGCCACACACAGTCTGTCCCCCTGCTAGAGCCCAGGGGCCAGGGTAGGGGAGCAAAGCCAAGGCCAGACACCCTCCCGGTGCCCAGGTGGCCAGGGTGTGCTTGCCGGGAGCACGGGCGTGTCCTGGCTTTCTTCCTGAGCAGGTCTTCAGCCTCACATGCTGTGTGCTCTTCCCAGGGGACTCCAGTTATAAGGTTCAGAGCAGAATGCAGCATGAGTGCAGTGTCCCCCGCTTCTATCTGGATCCTCCCCAAGTGCCCACATCACCTTCCAGTGCATCCCCCACATGGGAGCTAGGCCCAGGCTGCATGAGCTGGAAGACAGAAGACCAGCCCCTCGCCCCTGAGGGGGCTTCTGGGGAGCTGGTGTTGTTCTGCCCCGAGATCAGGGCTGGTGAAGGTGCATCCGAGGAATAGTTAAGAAAAGTGTACTTGTGTGTTTACTGTACCTCAATTCTGTCTTCCCCTCCCCATGCCCGCCATCCCATCGTTCTAAGAGAAGGGGTAAGGGTGGCTAAGTCCATTTGTGCTGCTGGGGGCTTAAGCCACAGGCATTTACTTCCCACTTCTGGAGGCCGACAGTCCACGATTGAGGCCCTGACAGCTCACGGGGTCTGGTGAGTGATGTCCTGGTTTGCAGGCGGCCACCTTCTCACGGTGCCCTCACACGACGAGGAGACTGTGATGTCACCTCTCCAGTGCCCCTTTTTATTATTATTATTTTTTTTTTGCTCTATCATCCAGGCTGGAGTGCAGTGGCGTGATCATAGCTCACCTCAACCTCCACCTTCTGGATTCAAGCGGTCCTGCCTCAGCCTCCCGAGTAGCTGGGATCACAGGTGCCCATCACCACGCCCGGCTAACGTTTGTATTTTTAGTAGAGACAGGGTTTCACCACATTGACCGGGCTGGTCTGGAACTCCTGACCTCAAGTGATCTGCCCACCTTGCCCTCCCAAAGTGTGAGCCGCCAGGCCAGGCCTCCAGTGCCTCTTTTTATAAGGCCACTGATCCCATCATGGGCACCCCATCCTTGTTATTTACCTCCTGCAGGCCCCACACCCGAATACTACTACATTGGGGATTAGTGCTCCCTCTCGTGGATCTGGGGACACAAATGCTCGGTCCATAGCAGCTGCCAGCACGGGCCACAGCATGGTGTAGAGAAGCAAAGGAACCTCAGTCAGGGCTCGAACCCAGGGACCGGGGCCTGAAGACAGAAAGCATCTCACCATGTTGTAAACAGATTAAAAACAACCCCCCCAGCACTTTGGGAGGCCGAGGCTGGTGGATCACGAGGTCAAGAGATCGAGACCATCCTGGTCAACATGGTGAAACCCTGTCTCTACTAAAAATACAAAAACTTAGCTGGGCATGGTGGTGCGTGCCTGTAATCCCAGCTACTCAGGAGGCTGAGGCAGGAGAACTGCCTGAACCCAGGAGGCGGAGGTTGCGGTGAACCGAGATCGCGCCATTGCACTCCAGCCTGGGTAACAAGAGCGAGACTCCATCTCAAAAAAAAAAAAAACAACCCCGAGGCAGGCCTGAGCACACTTCTGCAGTCAGTAGTAGATTTTCCCCAACATCCCGAGCCCCAGACGGGAAAGCCTAACTCTGCACTTCTCTCTGTTTGTGGGAAAAGCGTCTTTAGGATAATCTTGCTTTCCGGCCATAATGGGCTTGCCTGTGACGTCTGTCTCTATAGTCACTAATAATAAGCATGGCTGGGAGTGGACATTCTGAATTTCATTCACCAGCAGCTCTGCATGGGACGGGCAGTTTTTAAGGATGTATTTTCATCCCTCCAAACATTGCCATTCCCGACACCTTCCCGTGAGTTCTGCTCCCAGGTTATCTGTAAAGTTACAAGTTAGAAGTGAGTTGAGGTGTTTTGGGGTAAGGCACATAATGATGCTCAGTGACTCAGTTATTCCTACGCATTCTCAGCTGAGTCACGAGAGAGCTGTCAAAAGCGTCCACCGCTGTCCCGAAATGGTGGTTCCACAAGGGACTTCCTGTCACTGCAAGGCAGATGACTGACAGCCCTGCCCCAGGCAAGGCCCAGTCAACAGGGGCGGCACCCGTGCCTGCCTTCCGTGTATCTGGCGCGTGGCATTTGCACCCCAGCGGGACTGGGGGGCACGTGAGGAGCGGGTTCACTCATGCTGCTGTGCGTTTGGCCAGGTGCCACTGGGATTGAAGACCGTCTGCAGGATGGAGTCCCTGAGACCGTGGCTAAACTGCGTCAGGCGGGCCTGCAGATTTGGGTTCTCACCGGTGACAAGCAGGAAACAGCGGTCACCATCGCATATGCCTGCAAACTGCTGGACCACGACGAGGACGTGCTCACCCTGAACGCCGAGTCCCAGGTAAGGGGGTTCACGTGGCTCTGCTTCCCCTGGGGTGGCCCATGTCCATCGTGGCCTCCTCAGCAGAGACTCAATGTTGCTGGCAGCCGCTGTGAGCAGGACCTCGCCCTCCGCATTTGGGTTTAGGACGTGCATGTTAGTGCCTTAGAAGAGGTGGAGATTGCTGGAATTTCTCAGCACCAAAGCAGTGCACAGCTGGGCTTTATTAACACAAGCTTCATCCTGCTTCTCCTGACATGCTGTCCAAGTCATCAGAGAACCTTCTGGTGAGGACCCATGTGCTTACACGGTGGAGCTGGGGCAGCGGTCCCTCTATCAGGACCATCGCAGGCACTGGGGACTCCTTCATCCAGTTGCCTTTGTCTGTTCAGCTCCCCAAGTCTGTGGGGAGTAGCTGCTTCATCTACTGCCCGGGTCCGGGCACTGCCCCTCGCATGAGTTCCCACTCAAAACTTTTCGCGCTGGCTTTCAGGCTTCTTCAATGGAGCGGGAACCATGCTTGCCGTGGCTGATCTGCTGCATCCAGCGTGGCCAAGGCCACCACGGCCGCTCTGGGGCTCACCCTCAGACGCCCCGCAGCCCGTCTTAGGCCCACACCTGCACCATCAGCTTCAGGACCTTGGGACTTTGTCGCTTGGAGTGTCCCTTTCCGAGATGGCCCTGGGGGGAGCATGGCTGCTCCCTGTGTTTCTGCAGCAGCGCCCACTCTTCTTCTGGTCTCTGGGGCCTCACTCCATCTGTTGATGTAGGAAAGGCTGCCTGCTAAGCCCTGGTGCCCGCGCTGCACAGACAGCATTGTGAGCCTCGCACCTTGGAGTCTGTTATGCAGGTTCCCACCATTCCCGGTGCACTCTCCTCAGCCCCGCTGGACGGGCACCCCTGCCTCTCACATCTACGCAAGGCCATCCTGCTTCAGAGCCTGTGCTTTTACCAGGGCCTTTTTTTTTTTAAAGTGACCCCTTTCTCCAAGAAAGTTTGAGAATTTATGCTAAAGGTTGACCTGATGACCTGGTCATTGCTTCTCTCTCTCTCTCTGTCTCTCTGTCTGTCTGTCTCTCTCTCTGTCTCTGTCTGTCTCTCTCTTTCTGTTTCTGTCTCTCTCTGTCTCTCTCTTTATTTATAATTAGCATATACTAAAATCGGCTTATTTTTTTGGTTATACGCTTACATGAACTTTAGCGCATGCGTAGATCTGTGTAACCACCACCTATCCACGGTGCAGGAGAGCTCCATCACCCCCAAAGCATCTGTCGTGCTGCCCCTGTGCATTTGTGATCTCCCTCCTTCTCCAACCTCTGCAAGCCACTGATCTGTTCTCCATGACATACTTCTGTCTTTTCCAGACACCGAGTAAACAGAATACTCCGGTGTGTGACTTTCAGAGCCCGGCTTCTTTCGCTCAGCGTAGCATGTTTGAGACTCGCCTGGGCGGCTGCACGAATGAGCAGTATGTTTCCCCTTAATATCCGCTGTGTGGATTAACATCAGATTTTGCGTAGCCATTCAGTCAGTGAAGAACATGTTAGTTGTTTCTGGTTTTCGGCGATCGTAAACAGTACTCCTATAAGCGAGTGTGCACAGATTTTTGTGTGAACATGTTTTCGTTTCTTTAAATACCTAGGAGTGAGATCCGTAGGTCAGATGGTCAGCGTGTCTAAGCTTCTGAGAAGCGGCCAGACAGCAGCCTGCTTTTCCGAGTGCTCCGCACCTTCGTCGGCACTTCGTGTTGTCTTGATATTTTTTCTGCCGGCCCCTCTAATGGGTGTGTAGTGGTGTCTCGTCATGGTTTTAATTTGCATTTCACTGAAGTCTAACGAGGTTGAACATCTTTTCCTATGCGTATTTTCCATTTGTATATCCTGTTGGATGAATTGTCTATTCACGTATTCTCCCATTCTCTAATTGAGTTGTTTTCTTAACGTTAAGTATTCTTTATGTATTCTGTATGTAAGTCCTTTGTGGGCTACGTGATTTGCATATATTTCATCCCTATCTTTTTTATTTTTTAGTATTGTCTTTTGCAAAAGCTTTTCATTTTGATGAGTTTTTCGTCCTTTTAAATTTAAATTTTTTTATTATTTTACCTTTTCGGAGATGAGGTCTCAGTCTGTTACCCAGGCTGGAGTGCGGTGGTGCCATCACGGTTCACTACAGCCTCAGCCTCCCAGGTTCAGGGCGTCCTCCTGCCCCAGCATCCCGAGTAGCTGGGACCACAGGCGGGATGGGACCACAGCTGGGACCACCTGGCTCATTTTTTATTTTTTAAAGAGATCGGGTGTCCCCACGTTGCCCAGGCTGCTGTTGAGATCCTGAGCTCAAGTGGTCCTCCTGCCTCAGCCTCTCAAAGTGCTGAGATTACAGGCGTGAGCCACCGTGCCCGGTCTGATTCATCATCTTTTTTTTAAATTTTATGGATCACGCATTTGGTGTCATGTCTAAGATGTGCCTAATTTTGAATGTTTTCTCCTGTGTTTTCTTCTGAAAGCATTGTACATCAACATCTTATCTGTAAAGGCAGTCTGTTTTTGGGTCACATTTCCTGAAAAGTGAGAGGGTGAGGTTAGGCTTCACCTTTCCACGTGCGGCTGCCCGAGTCCTCCAGTGCCATTATGCTGAAAGCATCTTTTTTTTGGTGAAAAGCGTCTTTGTCAAAAACCAACTCGTTGTGTTTGTGTGGGTCTGTTTCTAGACTTTCTATTCCGTTCCCTCGGTTTGTCTGTCGACCATGCACCGATTCCATGCTGTTTTGATTCATTGTAATACTTTGATTGTTCTTCCTCCAACATTATTCTGTTTCCAAATTCCTCTGGGTCCTCATCGTCTTTGTTTGCCTCATGTGTGAATTTCAAATTAACTTTTCTTTGCAGAAATTCCTACTGGAACTTTTGTTTGGGTCTTGTTGAACTTACAAATCCATTTGGGAAGCACAGATGTTTTACGTACGTTGATCTTCCATTCTGTAAACATGGCATATATCTGCATTTTCTAGGTCTTCTATTGCTTTTATCAGCATTTTACAGTGTCACATGTTCATGTTGTGTTAGATACGCTCCCAAGCACCAATGCTTCTCAACTCATAATGGGTTATGTCCCAATAAACCCGTCATAGGTTGAAAATACCGGAAGTTGAAAATGTTTTTCGTGCCCCAATAAACCCATCGAAAAACTGAAAATTTGTAAGTTGAACCATTGTAAGTCAGGGGCCGTCGGTACAACGTTTTTTGGAGGTTTTATAAATAGTATCTTTAAATTTTTTTTTCCACCGTTTGTAGTACAGTTGACCCTTGAACACGTAGGAGTTAGGCACGCCAATCCCTCTGTGCAGTCAGAAATCCACATGTACCCTTCCACTCCCCAAAAGCTTCGCTACTCACAGCCTACTGTGAACCAGAAGCTGATAACATCGTCAGTCACCACCTATTTTGTATATTGTATGTATCGTGTGCTGTATTCTTACAGTAAAGTCAGAGAAAACAGTGTTATTAAGAAAATCTTAAAGAAGAGAAGATATATTTTCTATTCATTAAGTGAAAGCAGAACTTCATAAAGATCTTTTATTTTATTTTATTTTTTATTGCATTTTAGCTTTTGGGGTACATGTGCAGAACATGCAAGATAGCTGCATAGGTACACACGTGGCAGTGTGTTTTGCTGCCTTCCTCCCCTTCACCCACATTTGGCATTTCTCCCCACTGCCGTCCTCCTGTTGAATAGCCTGAGGAAGAGGAAGAGAAGAGATTGGTTTTGCTTGTCTTAGGGGTAGCAGAGGTGGAAAAATAATCCACGTATAAGTGGATCCATATAGTTTAAACCCACGTTGTCCAAGGGTCAGCTGTGTATGGAAATATCGTTGACCGTGTGTGCCGTTTATATTCTTTGGTCCACCAACCAAATGGAGAGCAAAAATAAATAAATAAATAAATAAAAAGCAGGAGTTGCAATTCTCGTATCGGATAAAATAGATTTTAAAGCAACAAAGATATAGTGGTAAAAGGATCAATAAAACAACAAGAGCTAACGATCCTAACACCCAGATACGAGACTTAGATTCAATGAGACAGAAAATTAATAAGGATATCAAGGACTCGAACTCAGATCTGGAACAAGTAAACTTAATAAATATTCATAGAGCTCTCCACTTCAAATACATAAAATATACATTCTTGTCAATACCACATCACACCTACCTATAAGCTTAAATGAAACATTGATTGGCCATTATTAATACCCATTTTTTTTTTTCAGAATAAAGCAATATTTCTGTTCACCCTCCCTCTCTCTCTTCCTCTTTCTTTCTCTCCTTTACTCATTTTTTTTTCTTTCCTTCTCTCAGAAAAAGAAATCAACTTGTAAACCTCTAGATCCAGGTCGGCAATGTCTCTCTCATTGCTTGAATTCCTTCCTTCCCTTCCCTTCCCTCCCTCCCTCCTTCCCTCCTTCCTTCCTCCCTCCTTCCTTCCTCCCTTCCTTCCTTCCTCCCTCCCTTCCTTCCTCCCCTCCCTTCCTGCCTTCCTCCCCTCCCTTCCTGCCTTCCTCCCTTCCTCCTTCCCTCCCCCCCAAAAATATATATATATATTCTTTGGTCCACTAAGCTTGCCTTATTAGTTCTAGGAATTTATTTTTTGTTTATTGGGATTTTTCCATGAGATAATTATATCATCTGCTAACAGAGAATTTTCCTTTTTCCTTTCCAATCTGTGTGCTTTTTCCTTCTTTCTCTTGCCTTAATTGAATAGGAGTAGTGAAAGTGGACAGGTTTGCCTTGTTTCATACGTAAGGGAGAAAACATCAGTCCGTCACCCTTAGCTATGTGTGCTGTCAATTATTTTTATTAGGTTAAGGAAGTTCCTTATCTAGGAGGTTTTATAATGAATGGCTGTTGAATTTTGTTAAAGGTTTTTTCACACCATTTTTCTCCTTTAGACTAATATGATAGAGTACCTTGATTTTTCCAAACTCGTATTCCCAGCATAAACCCCACTTGCTCATGTGCATTATTCTTTTTATATATTGCTGAATCCCATTTCTAGTAATATTTGTGGAGGATTTTGTCATCTATATACGTGAGTAATACTGGTCAGAAGTTTTGTTTCCTTTCAAAACAGAATTTAATATCAGGATAATGCTGGCCACGTGAAATGAGTTAGTTAGGAAGTGTTCCATCCTCTTTTATTTTCTGGAAGATTCTGTTATTGTTTCCTTCAATATTTGATAGAATTGGGCAGTGAAACCCTCTGGGCCTGGAGATTTCTTTTTCAGAAAATGTTTAGCTATGAATTCAATTTTCCTCAATAGTTAAGTAGTGTTCAGGTTATTCTTTCACCACGGCTGAGTTTTTCAGTAGTTGATGGTTTTTGAGAAATTACTGTATCTAAGTGTTGAATGTATGTATGCACACTTGTTCATAGTATTTTCTTTTTTTTTTTTTTTTTTTGAGACGGAGTTTCGCTCTTGTTACCCAGGCTGGAGGGCAATGGCGTGATCTCGGCTCACCGCAACCTCCGCCTCCTGGGTTCAGGCAATTCTCCTGCCTCAGCCTCCTGAGTAGCTGGGATTACAGGCACGTACCACCATGCCCAGCTAATTTTTTGTATTTTTAGTAGAGACGGGGTTTCACCTCGTTGACCAGGATGGTCTCGATCTCTTGACCTCGTGATCCACCCACCTCGGCCTCCCAAAGTGCTGGGATTACAGGCTTGAGCCACCGCGCCCGGCCCATAGTATTTTCTTATCTTTTGATGTTCATAGAGCCCACAGTAATATTCCTTTTATTTAGGATACTGGTAATTTGTGCCTTTTCCTTTGGTCATTTTGATAGTAGCTTATCATTTGTACTGACCTTTTCAAAGAACCAAGTTTTGAATTCATTGATTTTTTTTCTCTTTTTTTGTTTTCAATTTTATTGGTATTTGTTATTTCTGTCCTTTTGCTTGTTTTGGTTTTAAATTCCTCTTCTAGTTTCTCAAAGTGGAATCTTAGATTAGTGATTTGCAAACTTTTTTTTTTTTTTTTTTAAATTGAGACGGCGTTTCGCTCTTGTTACCCAGGCTGGAGTGCAATGGAGCCATCTTGGCTCACCGCAACCTCCGCCTCCTGGGTTCAGGCAATTCTCCTGCCTCAGCCTCCTGAGTAGCTGGGACTACAGGCGCGCGCCACCGTGCCCAGCTGATTTTTTGTGTTTTTTCTAATATAAGCAGTATGTTCTATCAGTTTTTACTGAGCACTGTTTCTCTGTACTGCGTAATTTTGAAGTATCATGTTTTCATTTATATACAATTCAAGACAGTTTTCTCACTTGCCTCCAGACTTTCTGTTTGACTCATAGATTATTGGGAAGTGTTCATTTCATTTTCTAGTGTTTGGGGGTTTTTCTGTTGCCTCCCTGTTATTGATTTCTCATTTAATTCCATTATGGTCAGATAACATGCGTTTTGTGATTTTTCTTTTTTTTTTATTGCATTTTAGGTTTTGGGGTACATGTGAAGAACATGCAAGATAGTTGCGTAGGTACACAGGTGGCAGTAGATTTGCTGCCTTCCTCCCCTTCACCTATATCTGGCATTTCTCCCCAGGCTATCTCTCCCCAACTCCCCGCCCCCCGCTGTCCCTCCCCTATTCCCCCCAATAGACCCCAGTGTGTGATGCTCCCCTCCCTGTGTCCATGTTTTCTCACTGGTCAACACCCGCCTATGAGTGAGAACACGCGGTATTTCATTTTCTGTTCTTGTGTCAGTTTGCTGAGAATGATGGTCTCCAGGTTCATCCATGTCCCTACAAAGGACACGAACTCCTCATTTTTGATATTTCGGTTCTTTTAAATTTGTGTTTTCTAATGACCCACGGTATGGTCTGTCCTGGTGGATCTGTTCATGTGCACCTGAAAGGAAAGTGCATCATGCTGTTGTTAGCTGGGCCCCACAAATGTCAGTTACATACAGTCGGTAAATGGCGTGGCTCAAGTCTTTTTTTTTTTTTTTTGAGACGGAGTTTCGCTCTTGTTACCCAGGCTGGAGTGCAATGGCACGATCTCGGCTCACCGCAACCTCCGCCTCCTGGGTTCAGGCAATTCACCTGCCTCAGCCTCCTGAGTAGCTGGGATTACAGGCACGCGCCACCGTGCCCAGCTAATTTTTTGTATTTTTAGTAGAGACGGGGTTTCATCATGTTGACCAGGACTTTGGGAGGCCGAGGCGGGTGGATCATGCTTTAACCATTTTGAAGAGTGCTGGCCGGGTATGTTGTAGAATGCGCCTATGTTGGGATTTGTCTGATGTTTTTCTTGTTACTAAAACGGAGCTAGGGGATTTAGGGAGGACAGCTACAGAGATCAAGTGCCATTTTCATCGTATCGTATCAAGGGTACACGCTATTAACACCGTGTCGTTGTCGAGGCTGGCCTTGTGATGGTCGGGTTTATTCACTGCTCTCTGCCTGGGTCCATGCCGGCTCCTTCTGAAGGAGGTCACCACGCACAGCCCTCGGTGAAGGACGGGGAAGTTACAGTTTTCTCCTTGAGGGCAGAGTAACTACACAGGTTATTTGGAATCCAGTGAGCGTTTTATTTCGGTTAATGTATTTTTGTCTAAAACTTCTATTTGGTTCTCCAAAATAGCTTCTTTTTTTGGCCCAGACTTTCTGTCTCTCTGTTCATTTCCAGCATGTTCAGTCTTCCTTCTGGAACATTTGGATAATGGCTGTTTTAGTCTTTGTCAGGAAACGTCAGTGTCTGTGTCATCTTGACACTGGCTTCTGTTGATCGTCTATTTCCAGAGTTGAGATTTTCCTGGTTCTTTGTATGCTAAGAAGTTTTGGATTACATCATGGGCATATTATGTTATGACACCGGTCATTTTTAATTTCTAAGAAAATGTGGATTTTTCAAGCAGGTGGCCAACCCTGGGGGGTTTGGGCTGTGCGCTCTGGGTGTTGGTTTCAAAGGCAGGTATGTTTATAAGACAGTCTTGCATTTTAGTCCCCCAGAGGCCGACTTGGAACTCGGCTGGCAGTCTGTTGCAGAGTTCACCTCTCAAAGGCTTTGTTACGGGCAAGCCCCAGAATTCATAAACAACCTTATGGGGTCAGGTAGCCCAGCTTCTCCTTCTTTACAATTTTTCCTTCCGGTTCCCCTGGAATCCCCTTTTCAGTCTTCGGCAGGAGAGCTGGAGAGCTAGAGTGTGTCATCTTGCTCTTCCCACATTTCCTGCCGTTCACCTGCGTCCAGCACCAAATGGGGGCAGGGTGGAAGACAGCACCACAGGCTCTGATGGAAAGGAGGGTCCGGCTCCCTTGAAGTGTGTGGCGGCCGATGGTCGCCACTGCCATTCCTGCATAGCCACTGTAGCAAGATGGCCAGGGACTGGGTTCAAAATAATAGAGGGGAAAAGAATAAATCCAATTGGAGACTTCCTCATCTTCTCAGAGCGCTGGGAACCCCCTTTTCACTCCTCAAGCCAGACCTAGGTGGTGTCTCCTGCAGCTCTCTGTCCCTGCCCTGGAGTCCACATCCAGGGTGCCTTGGGCCAAGCCAGGGGCTGCCAGAGTAAAAGTGAAATGCCCACCACCCATTCAGCATCCTCTCCCAGTCCCGCGGCTGCTACTCGCTCTCCGAGCTCCGCAGCGAGGCCCTGTGCATCCTGCCCGCGTGCTGGCTACGGTCAGTGGGAGCTGCGGGATGCAGGAGTCTCCACCGCTGTGGGAGTCTGGGGAGCTCGCGGAGTTCCTACAACGGCCTCCTGCATCCTCCTCAAGGCCTTCCCCAGTTACCACCCTGTCCCTCCCCATGCCCAGAAGCAACGCTCTCCCTCTCCGGCCCGTGTCCACACTTCTTGCACATCCTAGTTGGTGATTTACTACAGTCATGAGTATGTGTCCATCAGCTGTGTGTCGCCCCCACGGCAGTAACTGTGTCTTTTCAGTCCTCTTTTCTCTAGTCTGGCTTCATTTTCTGAATACAAAAGATCCTCAGTAAGCGTGCCTCGAATGCACCTGGATGTCCGTGGTGTGTGGCGGGGCACTGGTCACTGACCCAGCAGACTCACTGTCTGGGGAGGATCGGGAGCCTCAGGCTCCTGGAGCGTGTTGTCCTTGGAGACTGTGGTCCACCTGTGCCTCCAGCTCCTGTCCCTGGTCCCTAGTGCAGCTTCCCCAACGGGCTTTCCTTCTCTCTCCAGAATTCAGATCAAGTTTTGCCTATTAAAAGCCTTGGTTATTGTGCCTTTTTTTCTTTTCCTGGTGGAATTGAAGAACTTAGAACACTAAAAATTACATTTCTTCAGGGACTAATCATAACAAACCTTTCACACACCTTTGTGCCCTGCACTTGGTCCCTGGTGGGTTAGGTAAGGGCCTCGAGATCTACCAAGAAGTACATGGAGGGCCTTCACCTAACTACCCAGCAAGTTCACGATGATACAGTCCAGGCTCCCGACGTGAAGGTGGTTCATTCCAACCTCTGCCCTGTGTCATGGGCGGTCAAGACCCATTCCACCTCTTCTATGGGGAAAGCCATCCTCTCTGGCTAAACTTCACAGTTTCCAGAGGGTGGCCTCTGGGCAGGCGGGTTCTGCAGCCTGGATCCCGGGAAGGATGTCAGCTCCGAGGGTCTGAGCCAGGGCGGGGGAGTTTGTGGCATGACTCTGTCCCCTCGTGTCGTTTTCAGGAGACGTGTGCAGCTCTGCTAGACCAGTGCCTACACTACGTGCAGTCCAGAGGCCTCCACAGAACCCCTGAGAAGACCGACAGCAAAGTGAGCGTGGGGTTCTCCCCTCTCTGCCCACCCTCCACGTCCACTGCCTCTGGCCGCAGCCCCAGCCTCGTGATTGATGGGAGAAGCCTGGCCTACGCCCTCGAGAAAAACCTGGAGGACAAATTCCTCTTCCTTGCCAAGCAGTGCCGCTCCGTCCTCTGCTGCCGATCGACGCCTCTGCAGAAGAGCATGGTGGTGAAGCTGGTGCGGAGCAAGCTCCAGGCCATGACCCTGGCCATAGGTGAGTATCCCAGCCGGCCAGACAGCTCCTCCAGCTGGACCCACGCTTCCTGTTCCCATCACACCCAGTGTGACAGAGCAGGCAACGTGTTTCAAAGGTAAAGCTTACGTTGGAAAGCCACAAAATACAGCAGCAGCGTTACAGGTTCACGCGGCAAGGTCAGTAACCCAGTGCCGCTTTACAGCAACTAAACAGAGCTCGCCCTGTCTCGGGAGACCGGACCCTGGAGACCTGCCTGTCCCATTGTGTCCTGGCCACAGCAGAGGGCACTGCACACTCAGCCTTAGCCCAGGCTGACTTAGAAAGAAGGCCCTTTGCAGCTGCTTCTGGTCACCGTGACCCTCTGGGGCGTCCACGGCTTGGTAACCCCAGAGGCTTGGTGGCTGGAATTCCCACTGCCTCTTTTCAGCTCCGCTGAAGGTTCTGGGACAGGCCTCTGAGGAAGTCAGCCCATCCTCAGCTGCACGTCACTGCTCAGGTTTACGCCGGTGATTTCAGGACTGTGTCTCTCGTGCTGGCTTATCCTGGCAGACGCTGTTGGCCTGGAGTGGCCTCTCTGCTCCTCTCCAGGGATGGGATGGTGGCCAGGACACCCCCTCCACCCGCTTCTGGTGCAGGCAGTCTCTAGTACAGGTTCAGGGGCTCAGCAGCACCACCTCCTGGTGAGGGCCGGGAAGGACACGGTGGCCGTGATCCCCACATGCCAACAGTTGGGTCTCCCTGTAAATATGATCTACGCCTTGGTGAGAGTTGGCTCAGAAATCAACTGCCCTCACCAGTCAGCCAGCCAGCATTGGTAGTGTTTTCTGCAAAAGGTCTGGGACAGCCGCTGCCTGTTGAGCTGGGGATCGCCGCCTGTTGGCAGCGGGTACCTCACCTGGCCAGGGGAGACCGCTGTTCAGCCTGGGTCGTGGTGGGAGTGAGGAGGGCGAGCGCTGGCCTGAACACGGGCGTCACGGGGACCCTGCCCTACACACCCTGAGGCCAGCAACCGCCAAGGAGAGCGGGCACAGGACACACGCTCAGGAGGCCTAGGGGAAGTGAACAGCCACTGCCCGTCCTAGGGCCGTCTTTGCCTTCGTATGCCTGGAGTGGCCCTCAGGTTTCCCTGAGGAGCTGGAAAGGTCTGCAGGCTGTCCTTCACCACCCTGGCCCCAGCCTCCTCCTCCCAGGGAGCACGAGGACAACGTCAGCCCTGAAAGGCCACGGGAAGATGTGAATGATGTTTGCCTGGCCTGGCCTGGCCTGGCTCAGATGCTTAGCCACTGGTGTCTGGTATTCCTTTAAGAAATGGAAGGAAAGCCTTGGCTGATTAAAAAGAAAGGGAAAAACAAAATGGACTCTCAAAAGAACAGGGGAAAGTAATGGCCCCTAAGAACACTAGCGCATAGGTGGGCATGTGGCTCACACATAATCTCAATCGTTTGGGAGGCCAAGGCAGGAGGATCTCTTGAGCCAAGGAGTTTGAGACCAGCCTGGGCAACACAGTGAGACCCCCATCTCTATAAAAAAGTTATTTTTAATTAGCTGGGTTTGGTGGCACACACCTGCAGTCCCAGCTACTTGAGAGGCTGAGGTGGGAGGCTCACCTGAGCCCAGGAGGTCGAGACTGCAGTGAACCGTGATCACACCCCTACATTCCAGCCCAAGCAACAGAGCAGGAGATGCTCTCTGAAAAGAAAAAACAGCTGCGGCAACGTGGTGGGTGAAGCCCGATCTCTACTAAAAACATGATACCTGGCTGGCTGTGTTGGCGTGCACCTGTCATCACAGCTCAGGAGGCTGACGAGGGAGGATCGCTTGAGCCCAGGAGGTTGAGGCTGCAGTGAAGCCTGATCATACCCCTGCACTTTCCCACCTAGCCTGGGTGACAGAGTGAGACCCAGTCTCAAAAGAAAGAATGCGTTAAAGCATCAATGTGACCTCCCCCTGGTTCCCGGTGCTCTGTAATAGAGAGCATTGTTGTACACTATATCTCATTTTAAATGGGACATTCTGGGGAAAGCTGTACAGATCTGTATTGCTTCAGAGAATTCCAGGCTGATAGATATGGACTGATCACTTAAATTGGTCTCAGCATTACAGAGAACAGGAAAATCACAGGGAAGACACATCCTGTAGTCACTAACTTTGTGTATCTGCGCCTTTTTTCATTGGGTCACCTTGGGATGTAAGTCCTGGGCTCTTCTGCTGCCCACTTCCGAGAACGGTTAACCGTCAGGGAGTGACAATGACTCTCTGCTGGCCTTTCCCCGAAGGTGTCCAGAGCTTTGACTTTTGCCTTGTCTTCCTAAACATTTTTTTAAATTGCATTTTAGGTTTTGGGGTGCATGTGAAGAACATGCAAGGTAGCTGCATAGGTACACAGGTGGCAGTGTGATTTGCTGCCTTCCTCCCCTTCACCTATATCTGGCATTTCTCCCCATGCTCTCTCTCCCCAACTCCCTACCCCGCGCTGTCCCTCCCCTATTCCCCCCAACAGACCTAAACATTTTCTATCAACAAATTGACAGAATGAAGAGAAGTTCTCCTTTATTGCACCCCTAGAGGGCCCCAAAGTGAGCACAACGGCTAACGCTGTGGCAATGTGAGTGCAGAGAAGAGCTCTGTAATGTGCTGGGCTGAGGGGAGCCCCTTCCTTTAGTTTAGAAACTTCCCCGGGGAAGTGTGGCTGGGATTAGCCTTGGCTGCTTGGCTGGAGTGGTTTAGTAACTAATGATGATGAAGATGGTGATTGGCATCTTTCCTTGTGCCAGACAGCGGGATGTGGGCCAGACACTGTGTAAGAGTGACACTGTGTAAGAGTGACAGCAGGATGTGGGCTTCACCGGTGTAAGAGTGACACTGAGCGCGGGTACCACGTACCAGATCACTCAGCCCCAGCCTGCTTTCTGAAGCGTCGCCGGGTCTGGCTGGCTTTTTCTGAGTCCTTAACTCTGTTCTCCCAGGGTGGATGCTCTACTCCTTTTTCCCCCAGCTTCCCCAGGACTGTTTCACAGGACCAAGTTCGATGGGGGCCCCCAGGAAAATCTAGTGCATTGATTTGATTCTGTGCTGTTTAATTCTTCTGCTGTGCTGTTTCTAGGGGACGGAGCCAATGATGTCAGCATGATCCAGGTGGCAGATGTGGGCGTGGGAATCTCCGGTCAGGAGGGCATGCAGGTAAAGCCCAACCAGGCTGTTCTGTGGGACCAGGTAGCTCTACTGGTGTCTTGTCCTATCACCCTGTAGGCTGTCCCCACCTTCCTCTGGGCTCTATTGAACGAGGCTAAAGGGTTTGCCCTCAATACAGCTGATGCTCAATAGAGCTGCTAAGCCCATAGTGGAAGGTAAGGGTAATGTCACTCTTCCTGTTTATGAAGCAATGTGCAGTAAGCATGTCTTCCCACGTCATGAGTCTATTCTTGTGAAGTAAGTGGCTCAGAGAGAGGCAAGGTGAGTCATCACCTTCTGTCTGGCTTGCGGTGGCTCGGTCCCAGCAGGCACTTTTTACTGTCCCTGAACACTGAGCAATACCATTTGGACAAGTGGCTTTGAGGTAGGTGGCACTCAGTGACGCGGCACGAGTGGAACGTAACCATCCTGACTCACACGGAAGTCAGCTCTGTGTCTTCCTGCTGCTGCTGTGTTCACGCTCGGCCTGGGAGTCAGACATTGAACAAATGACTTTGTTAAAAATGTGCTTCTTGGCCGGGCGCGGTGGCTCAAGCCTGTAATCCCAGCACTTTGGGAGGCCGAGGCGGGTGGATCACGAGGTCAAGAGATCGAGGCCATCCTGGTCAACATGGTGAAACCCCGTCTCTACTAAAAATACAAAAATTAGCTGGGCATGATGGCGCGTGCCTGTAATCCCAGCTACTCGGGAGACTGAGGCAGGAGAATTGCCTGAATCCAGGAGGCGGAGGTTGCGGTGAGCCGAGATCGCGCCATTGCACTCCAGCCTGGGTAACAAGAGCGAAACTCCGTCTCAAAAAAAAAAAAAAAAATGTGCTGCTTTGGGAGTTAGGATTAGCACAGTTTCCAACTTTTGACTGAGTTTGAATCACAACATTTTTGCATGTGTGGAGATTTTAGGGAATGATTTATCAGATGGGCTAAAAAGCAGTATGTTGACACCATTATTCACTTGCTGATTCATTCGATGATTCATTCGTTCAATCAGTAATGATCTAGTGGGCACTTGCCGCGTGCCACGCCTGCGCAGAGCTCATTAATAGCTTCAGCTGACGTTCCACCCTCAGATGGAAGGTCCCAAGCTAAACGCACAGTGGTTCTGTCATGGCTGGTCTTCCACCCTTCCCTTACCACGCCCCCCGGCCCCGCTGTCATCTGACCGGAATCTCCATGTAATGTTACTCACATGTTTTTCTCTTCCTCCACGAAATTGAAAGTGGAGTTCACGTTTGACTCACCTTTGTCTCCTCACAGTGCCGGCGTGGCACTTGGCACAGGGGGAAGCTCAAGAAACAATTGCTAAATAAACGAACAAAACACAGTGCACCCTTTAACAACGTGGGTCCGTACTGTGTGAGTCCACTTATATGTGGACATTTTTCAGTAAGTATTTGGAAAATTTTTTGGAGATTTGTGATGATTTGAAAAAACTTGCAGATGAACCAAGGAGCCTAGAAATACCGAAAAGAATTAAAGAGGGCCCGGTATGCTGGCTCATGCCTATAATTTCAGCACTTTTGGAGGATGAGGCGGGAGGATCACTTGAGGCCAGGAGTTCAAGACCAGAGCCGGGGCAACATGATGCAACCACGTCTCTACTAAAAACACAAAACTTAGCCCAGCGTGGTGGCCCATGCCTGTAATCCCAGCTACTTAGGGGTCTAAGGCAGGAGGATCGCTTGAGCCTGGGAGGCTGAGCCTGAGGTGAGCTGTGATTGGGCAACACAGTGAGACCCAGTCTCTCTCTCTCTCTAAAAGGAAAAGGTAGTATGTCATGAATGTGTGAAATACATGTCGATTCCACTCTGTGTATCAGCCGTTTCCGTGACCCGTAAGGCTTTCCCATCAACCCGAGGCCGTTCGTAGTTAAGTTTGGAGGGAGTCAGAAGTTCTATGTGGATTTTGACTATGGGTGGGTACCCCGAACTCCCGTGTTGTTCAAGGGTCAACTTCAGTTCATTCTGACTTTTTCGGCCCTGCGTCTGTTTTCACTGTTTCTTCTACTGAAAATCTGATGGGGGCAGTACCTACTGGCCTCACGTGCTGGAAGCTTGACGAGCAAAAATCTATTGGACCAGAGACTCGAACGTTGAGTGTGTGGCTAGAGAGGAGCCTGAGCTGGCACCCCTGCTCCCCGCCTCAAGGTGGGAGCCCCAGCCCCAAGCTCTGGGGCTCTAAATGACAGGTGACGGGAACAGCTGAGCCGTAGGGCAGGTGCCCAGGGACACAGCTTTGAACAGGCCTAGCTTCTGGGGAGGAGGTTGCTGGCGCTTCTGTGCCTGTGTAAAGCTGCACATCCTCCCATGGATGTGTTTGAGGATGAGGCTTGCTACCTTTCCTTACGTCCTATGCACCTGGGTTCTCTAGCACTGGGACCCCTTTGCTTCATTTTACTCAGTCCTGCTGAGTCCTTTGAGAGATGAGCTGTGGCATGCAGAGATAGAGAGATGCCCAGGGGTTGAGTCACAGCTGAGCCGTGGAGGACCAGGCAGGAGAGGTAGGCATTCCCCAGCTCAGCCCAGGTGGAGAGGCCTCGCCAGGCAGGAGGCAGGAAGGGCAGAAGAGATCCCGCAGCTCCTGGGAGGCTCTCTCTTCGTGAGCTCGGCTCTTCTGCGTCACCCAGTTTGTCCTGCGCCTCTAGAGCCAAGACTGGCTGGGAGCCAGGGGTACACGGTGACCCCAACATTTCCGATTCTGCTCTCCTGAAATTCCCAGGTGAGCTGGGAGGCTTTGGAAAGGCCACTAACAGGACAAGCACTGCCCCTGAGGCCTGGACTGGGGAAAGGAGGAGCCGCAGAAGGCTGGTGAGCCAGGCGTCCTCAGAAGAGGTTTGACTGTGGTTCTCAAGGACGGGGTTTCTTCTTCAAAGACGGCCTAGAGTTGGCCCCTGCAGGCCGTCAGCCCCTTTTCACACTTGTGCCTTTTGACCGAGTTTTTCAGGCTGACTCTGGGGAGGACGGAGACTGTGTCTAATGCTCTATTTCTCCAGGTTTGTGCCTGGCAACAGTGGGGCCTTATAAATGATTTTTTAGAGGATGAGTCATGGGACTGATGAGTGGAGAATTACAGAACAGGAAAAGCTTTTTTTTTTTTTTTTTTTGAGACGGAGTCTTGCTCTGTCACCAGGCTCTGGAGTGCAGTGGCTCAATCTCGGCTCACTGCAACCTCCACCTCCTGGGTTCAACCCATTCTCCTGCCTCAGCCTCCCTAATAGCTGGGATTGCAGGCGCGCACTCCCACGCCCAGCTAATTTTTGGATTTTTAGCAGAGACGGGGTTTCACCATGTTGGCCAGGATGGCCTCGATCTCTCAACCTTCTGATCCTCCCAGCTCGGCCTCCCAAAGTGCTGGCAGTACAGGCGTGAGCCACCGCGCCTGGCCCGAAAAGACTTTTAAGCCCCTGTGTGGTGAGAGGAAGAGGTAGAGAGGCATTTGCTTTGAAACCCTTCACGCTGGGATCACAACACTGATGTTCTAAGGTTTTGTGTATCGCGACACGATTCCATTTCAAGCACACCACGTGAGGCATCCTTTACCGTTTGCTACATATGATTTGAATACAGGGAAATCAGATGTTAAAGGCAGGTTGGCATTTTATGTGCAATAACCTTCTAATGATAAGCAGAAATCTAGCTTTTCCTGCCATTTTGTTTGATGTTTTTTTCCAAACAATTATTGTATGGTGGGTTTCCAGTTATTCTGGGGACAAAAAGTATCACGTTGATGGCATTTTCCAGCCTACTTGGCTTCATTGTGTAAGTACCAGGCTCGATGACCCGCAGGGGAGCTTCCATGGCGGAGCCCTGCCTGTCCGTGGAGGAAACTTGTCCTCTGCACTCCGACTCTGCCTGCCTGCCCCAGCGTCCTGGGATGGGAGGATGTGGGAGGCCATTGGAGCCCCGAGCCTGGCCTTGCCCATCACCAAGGCTGCTGGGGACAACAGCCCAACATGCACCTCCCGGGACAGGGGAACATCTGTACAGATGGAAGGAGCAGCTTTGGGTCATCCTTGGGTTGAGATTGTGGATAGATTTAGAGGAAAGTGACATCCAGGCGTGGAGAAAGGCAGGTAAACTCCACGCAGCTTTGTGTCTTTTGACCTGTTGAGAAAACAGCAGGAAAAGGAAAACCTTTTAAACCCCACTAATGACACATATTTGAAAGCTTAAATGAATCCTAAAAAGTGACATCCCTGGGGCCGGGTGCAGTGGCTCAAGCCTGTAATCCCAGCACTTTGGGAGGCTGAGGCGGATCACGAGGTCAAGAGATCGAGACCATCCTGGTCATCATGGTGAAACCCCATCTCTACTAAAAATACAAAAAATTAGCTGGGCATGGTGGTGTGCACCTGTAATCCCAGCTACTCAGGAGGCTGAGGCAGGAGAATTGCCTGAACCCAGGAGGTGGAGGTTGCGGTGAGCCGAGATCGCGCCATTGCACTGCAGCCTGGGTAACAAGAGCGAAACTCCGTCTCAATTAAAAAAAAAAAAGTGACATCCCTGAACTGGCATGTGGGGCGAGACTGCTTCTCTTGGAACGGAAGGCAATGCTGAGGGAGACGACAGCGTGCAGACCTGGCCAGCCACAATCACCCTGTGTTCAGAACGGAAACGTTCCTTCTCTGTCATTTACCTCTCACAGCGGGCGTGCGTCACCAGTAACAGGAATCCCTCTTCCTTTGAAGGCAGTGATGGCCAGCGACTTTGCGGTGCCGAGATTCCAATACCTGGAGAGGTTGCTGATGGTTCACGGGCATTGGTGCTACTCCCGACTTGCCAACATGGTGCTGTACTTCTTCTACAAAAACACAGTAGGTATTGGATGCCTGGGTAGAGTTCTGGGATTGGAAGGTCCAGGTCTTAGGACCATCGCCTGAATGAGGCCAGAAGGCTGTCCACAGCCTCCCGTCTACTCCATCCTCCTTGCCTGTGTGAGTGTCCCCTGTCCTGGGCTGGCTCTGCACCCTGTAGGTGCCGAGTCTAATTCAGGGGCATGAGAGCAGCTGCGTCTTTACGGAGAGGTGGTGGAAACAGGTGCCTCACACTAGCAAGCCCACTGCTGACTGCAGTGACAAGGGGCGTAACCGTGAGCCTGGCAGTTTGCACAGGGTCACATAGCTGGTGACCCTTCAAAGCTGCGTTCACCCCAGGCCACCCAGCTCCGGCTCCCAGACTCCTAACCACTGTGTCCACAGATTTCTTGGGAGCATGCTGCTGAGATGTCCCCAAACAGGAGTCCTCTAATCGGCATTTTCTCTAGAGGAGATGGGAAATATCCAAGGATAAGTTCAAGTGCATTTGTGGTCTGGGATCGGAATAAGGGAATTTCTCCCCACTCTGATTCCCATACTGAATGGCCTCTACTGGGACACATGACACCAGGACAGGCAGCGAGCCCCCAGGTCAGGGAGGCTGGGACCCAGCAGGAAGGGACTGCCCATCCAGCCTGCCCACCCTCTCCCACCTCCCGGGTTGGCAGAGCAGACACACCCCTCTCGGTGAGCTCGATCTGTAGCTGAACTGACCCTGCGGTAAAGTCACGGCCAGGGCAGACTGGCCGCAGACATTCTGTCTCTGCCGGGGCTCTGAATACAGCCTGGGCATTTCATGTGCATCTTCACGCTGGACTCTCTCTTCCCTCATCAGGTTTCTCTGGCAGATGGGCTGCTCCACGGCCCTGCAGGGTGGACCACGTGGCTGCCTCAGCGTTCTGCCCATTTACAAGGGATTTCTAGACTTTGAGGAGTTGCTAGGCTGCTGCTGCTTTTGGCTGAATGTACAAACAAACCCAAGAGTTTTTTTCTCCTTAAGTGATCTTCCAGGGTGGCCCATAAATCTACCTGGCTAAACACCAGAGCCCCTGTTATTTTCTGGTTATCAAGGTTATTTTCTGAAAAAGAACAAAAGGAGTATTCTTTTTCCAGCTCCCTATAAAAAGTCTCCACGTTAGCTAGCTCTAAATTGTCATCGGTTGTTCATGTTCTTTTTATTTTTATTTTTATTTTTATTTTTTGAGACAGGGTCTCAGGCTGGAATGCAGTGGCCCCATCATAGTTCACTGCAGCCTCAACCTCCTATGCTCAAGTGATCTTCCAGCCTCAGCCTCTCAAGCAGCCGGAACTACAGGTGCGCACCACCATGCCCATTTAATTTTTTTGATTTCATAGACACGTGGTCTCACTACGTTGCCCAGGCTGGTTCCCCATTTTTTTTTTTTTTTTTTTTTTTTTTTTGAGACGGAGTTTCGCTCTTGTTACCCAGGCTGGAGTGCAATGGCGCCATCTCGGCTCACCGCAACCTCCGCCTCCTGGGTTCAGGCAATTCTCCTGCCTCAGCCTCCTGAGTAGCTGGGATTACAGGCACGTGCCACCATGCCCAGCTAATTTTTTGTATTTTTAGTAGAGACAGGGTTTCACCATGTTGACCAGGATGGTCTCGATCTCTTGACCTCGTGATCCACCTGCCTTGGCCTCCCAAAGTGCTGGGATTATAGGTGTGAGCCACCGCGCCCGGCCTCCCCATGTTCTTAATTGTTTTTCTGGCGGCTACACCGGCCTTTCTTTCCCAGCCTCTCTTTGCCCCAACACCCACCCCCATCTTTCAGAGCATTTTCTAGCAAATGCATACAGATGCTCAGAGCCAGTCAGGGCACGTTTCACTTGATAGGTTTGGTCCCAAACATTAATTCACATTAGGTTGTGCCTGGGACTCTATCTGAGCAGGGCTGTGTCACACGCTCCCGGGATCTTCCTCCCAGCCCTGGCACTGAACCCCCAGCGCTTTGACGCCTGTCATGCACAGTTGCAAGCCTAGAGGTTCTCAGCCCCTGAAGGAGTGGAGGGGTGAGTGGGGGTGGGTGGGACAGAATCCAAGCCCCATTTCCATCACTTGGTAGCTGTGAGATCTTGAGCAAGTTAATTCCTGCCTTGGGGTTGTTTTTTATCAAAGACAAGGTCTGATTCTGTGGCTGAGGTTGGAATGCAGTGGCGCCACGATACCGTATCCTCAAACTCCTAGGCTCAGGCAAGCCCTCTGCCTCAGCATCCTGAGTAGCTGGGGCTACAGGCCACCATGCCAGCTAATTTTTTTCTGTTTTGTAGAAACAGGGTGTCACTATGCTGCCCAGGCCGGCATCAAACTCCTGGCCTCAAGCTGTCCTCCCCATCTCTGCCTCCCAGAGTGAGGGAATACAGGCATGAACCACCAGGCCCAAGCTTCTTTTAAGTCTTAAAAACAAAGCATGTGAGTTGAGCCAGCTGATCTCTAATTCCAAGTAAAAATGTCTCCGATTGAAGGAAGGGCGAGAATCATGTAGGCCAAATCATGAAACATTTCAGATGCAAACAAAGGCGCTAGCGGCCACCTGAGATGGCCACTGAGATGGCCACTGCCTGCTGCGATGAGGCCCTCCTCATTGAAGGGTACAGAAAGGAGAAGAGGGCACCTGTCTTTATTCCGTAAAAACGCAAGACCTTTGTTAACAAGCATTCATCTACGCAAGGAGGTCGAGGATGATCGCTCTGCCTCCTGAAATGAGAAATTCATCAGTTTTAGGAATAAGTTGGCCTTTCTTTTCAATAAAAAGCAGAGAAGGGAAGTTTCCATAGTAACAGTGGTTTGGGAAGAAAGCTTTTTGGTACTACAGGAAAAAAAATCTCAATTATCTAAGTACTTATCTTCCTCTTTTCTTACTGCATTTGCTCACCGGTGACTCACTGGGCCGAGCCTGTGGGGGTGAGTGAGTGACAGCCAGCGTGGGAGCGCAGAAGGGAAAAAGTCAGAATAAAAGCCAAACGTTAGTTCCCAGCGTGTAGGGGAGGCTGCATGTGCGGACATTTAAATCGTGTCTGACACAGGACTTGGAGGCTATGTGCATGGTCGGTTATTTCAACATAAACCCCCGTTTCTTGTGATCTTCACGAGTCACTTCCAGGTCAAGAAACCAAAGGCTCAGGGAGGGGAAGTGGCTGAGTCAGGGTCAGAAGGGTAACTAGTTGGAGCTCCAGCACCAAGCCGAGGCTTGGCGGCGCCCGGCAGAGGAGGCCTGGGCGGCGTCAGAGTTCCCTGCGGGACTGTGCCTGCCCTCCAGGCCAAGACCCATCGTAGTTGAAAGAGCTGGGTTCCTTTCTCACACCATGACCTCGGCCAAGTCATCTGACGTCTTGGAACCTCAGGTTCCCTCTCTGTATGTGGGGTAAGAGCAGTCATCCTGCCTTAGCCCCAAACAAGAGAACTAACCATCCCACTCCCCACCGCACCATCGGTGAGCACCGTAGCTCACCAGGGACTCCGCTGAGAACTCTAAGTGCATTGGGTCCCTTAATGCCCACAGCAGGTGCACTGGCTGAGTGTCACTGGTATGCTCATGTCGTGAAGAAGGAGAGCGAGGCTGAGGGGTTCACGCTCTGTGCTCAGCTGCACAGCTCATGAGTGTTAGAGCACTTTGCAGTCACTAAACTGTCATGCCCACCCTATAAAGCACAGGCCGCTGATACTCAGGGATCTAGCAGTAGTGAGAAGAGACCTGACCCTGCCCCCATGCCACGTAGCAGGTGCCGGAGGCAGCTGTTCCACCTCCCTGAATCCCACTGCTGAGCCGGGTGGCTGTACCTGGGAGGATCGGAGACGAAGCCTCTCCCGCTCTCCGCAGCGGAGGTCCCCATGGCCAGTCAACTCAGGGCAGCAATGTTGATGAGGTCATTGGCGTTGCTATTGTACGTCTGTGTGTCTTCTCTCAGTGGGAGTCAGTCATTGTCCACAGCGCCTCCTCAGAGAGTATGCCAGGTCACTAAAGAGGAGATAGGAGCAGGTATAGCCACAGGTGGGCTTTGTCTGGGGTCACAGAGGAGGGCTGCCAGGGACGAAGCCACAGCCCATACCCAACTGGCCTTCTTGAAGTGTGAGCAGCCCTAGACCCCTGTGAAACCCTGATTGTGTTTTCTGCTAATGATCCAGAGCTTGCCAACACAAACCTCATCCCTGCAAGGGCTGCTCCTGGGAATCCCCAATTCCCACTGCCAGGTCTTCTTGCTTCAGGGAATGAGGAGGAAGGAGGAGAAGCAGAGGCCGACAGCAGGGCTCAAGGTCAGGGCTGGCAGTGGAAGAACTCACTGCCCATACAGTTCATCTTGGCAGTGAAACTCTGCAGGCCTGTCGGCACCCTCGGATGAGAATCCTCAGCAGTGGCTGACGACCCACCTGCTCTTGTTCTTCCTTTCGTGATTGCAGATGTTCGTGGGCCTGCTGTTCTGGTTCCAGTTTTTCTGTGGCTTCTCTGCCTCTGCCATGATTGACCAGTGGTATCTCATCTTCTTCAATCTGCTCTTCTCATCGCTGCCGCAGCTCGTGACTGGGGTGCTGGACAGGGACGTGCCGGCAGACACGCTGCTGACCAGGCCGCAGCTCTACAAGAGCGGCCAGAACATGCAGGTAAAGCTCCCCTGCGTCTCCGCCTCCCACCTCCTGAGCTCCGCCCTCCACGTTCAGCCTCCCTTTACACGGACAGCCTGGACCAACTAAAATGCTGGAATTCAGCATTCTGAGGAAGGAGGAAAAGGGCTGCTCTCTGCTTGGCCGTGGCGAAACTGTCCCCTCCACGAGTCTCCAGGAGCCAAAGAAAAGCCCAGAGTCCAAGTCAGTCACAAGGCATCACTGAGGCTGGAGGGGGATTTTCCTAAAGCCATCAAGAACATGTGATTTATTATGAATGGGAATCAATGAAACCAACCAATTAACAAAAAGCTACCGAGCCATTGAAAGAGCAAATAGGGCCAGGCGCGGTGGCTCAAGCCTGTAATCCCAGCACTTTAGGAGGCCGAGGCGGGTGGATCATGAGGTCAAGAGATCGAGACCATCCTGGTCAACATGGTGAAACCCCATCTCTATTAAAAATACAAAAAATTAGCTGGGCATGGTGGCGCGTGCCTGTAATCCAGGTACTTGGGAGGCTGAGGCAGGAGAATTGCCTGAACCCAGGAGGCGGAGGTTGCGGTGAGCCGAGATCACGCCATTGCACTCCAGCCTGGGTAACAAGAGCGAAACTGTCTCAAAAAAAAAAAAAGAGCAGATAGATTTAAACACATATTGACATGAATACACCACATAGATCGGCACACTGATGGCCCACTGTTTGTAGCCGGCGTGAAAGTCAACGGTAAGTGCTTTGCTTTGCTTTGAGATAGTCCGTGTGGGCAAAAAGAACATGCAGTCTCATTTCTTCTCAAGAATCCCTAATTCCACATTCACTCACTGATGGGTTAACATTCCCTGGCCAGCCACCTCTGTGAATGCTCAGTGCCTCAGAAGCAGGCCACATGCATGGGGTGCTGGGAGGTGGGGGGCCAGGCAGGGGAGCAGAGCTTCTGCTTGCTAGCTGTGGCTTTGGGGGAATTCCCATCCTGGGCCAGGTCTCAGCCTCCTTGGCCAGCTGTGGGACAGAGATGCTGGGAGTGCGTCCTGTCCTGTGGAATTAGGTGGCCCACAGGAAGAGCCTGGCCACACTTTCCCTAAGTCTCAGTCAGAGCTTCTTCCCCATCTGCACTGCCTGCAGGTCCCGTGCCAGCTGCTCTGGGACTTGGCAGGGTCAAAGACACATTTGGTCACCTGGGTAACAGAGACTCTATTCATCTCTATCAGGGTTATTTTCATTTCTGCCCCTGGGGAGATGGCTTTTCGCTTTTAACATTGGGGCATATCCATCGTGTGACTTTGAAAGTGAAGACTCACTTTTTTTTTTTTTTTTGAGACAGAGTTTCGCTCTTGTTACCCAGGCTGGAATGCAATGGCGCGATCTCGGCTCACCGCAACCTCCGCCTCCTGGGTTCAGGCAATTCTCCTGCCTCAGTCTCCCAAGTAGCTGGGATTACAGGCACGCGCCACCATGCCCAGCTGATTTTTTGTATTTTTAGTAGAGACAGGGTTTCACCATGTTGACCAGGACGGTCTCGATCTCTTGACCTTGTGATCCACCCGCTTTGGCCTCCCAAAGTGCTGGGATTACAGGCTTGAGCCACCGCGCCCGGCCATGTCTCACTCTTAAACATTCTAAGGGACACACCACCAAGACAGGCGGAATGTGGTAAATGTGGAGGAACAGAAGGGCTCACCCTGGGGGAGAATGCCCGGAATTTCAGGTGCTGCTTCTACTTGAGAGACGTGTTCCCTGGGGAGACATAGAAAGCGGTTCTGTCGTTTGACTGTGGACCTGGAGCTCCGGAAGCTCGCCTTGCTGGGGCGGGTGTTCCCAGGGAGGCTCAGCTGCAGAGGGCTTCCCGAGTGTTTGGGAGGGCTTTGCGCCTCCAGGAGTCCTGAGAGAGTTTTCCTGGGGTGCTTGTCTTGTGCGTTAACTTCTGTGTAGCATCCTAGGAAATGTCATTTGAACCATCAACCTAAATAGCAAAGAGAGGGGCTCTAAAAGAGAACGGTGTCTATTCGGAAATGGGGCACCGCAATAGGAAGGTGTGTGCCGTGGTCAACTGTGTGGGTGTTCAGGGAGGTAAAGGAAGACAAATGTATTTAAAGGGGAAAAAAATCATGATTGTTGGGGCCGGGCGCAGTGGCTCACACCTGTAATCCCAGCACTTTGGGAGGCCGAGGCGGGTGGATCACGAGGTCAAGAGATCGAGACCATCCTGGTCAACATGGTGAAACCCCGTCTCTACTAAAACTACAAAAATTAGCTGGGCATGGTGGCGCGTGCCTGTAATCCCAGCTACTCAGGAGGCTGAGGCAGGAGAATTGCCTGAACCCAGGAGGCGGAGGCTGCGGTGAGCCGAGATTGCACCATTGCACTCCAGCCTGGGTAACAAGAGCGAAACTCCGTCTCAAAATAAAAAAATGATGACGAGTGTTTTGAGATGCTCTTTCCTTGGCTACACGGATAAATGACAGAGATGGTGCCCGTTGAGTTTGGACGGACAGTTGCTGGGCACACGTCCTTGGAGGATTGTATATTTTGTGGCTGTGACAGTTTTTGCTGTCAGGCATTTGTGCATGAGGACCCTCTGTCTGTGGCCTTTCCCAGCTCTCTTCCTCAGGGTGGGTTTTTCTTGTGGTTGTTTTTAACACAAGTGATTCCATTGTTCTTCCCACTGCTTTCCCGGAGGATGCCAGCACTCCCCCAGAATGTCACCGACTCTTTCTGTGTCCCAGGAATACCGGCCGCGAACATTCTGGTTTAACATGGTGGACGCTGCCTTCCAGAGCCTGGTTTGCTTTTTCATCCCTTACCTGGTAAGTTGGTCCTGGGCGGAGCTCTTCTTACCAGCTGCATCCGGGGACCTCCAGACCCAGGACCCCGCTCTCTTTCAGGCCTACTACGACTCGAACGTGGACCTGTTTACCTGGGGGACCCCCATCACGACCATCGCGCTGCTCACCTTCCTGCTCCACCTGGGCATTGAAACCAGAACCTGGGTAAGAGCCGCCTGCGTGGCCCTTCTGCCACGTGGCCCCGATACCGCCTACCCCACACTTCCCTGCAGCTTCCTGAAGACTGGGAGGTGGTCTGGAGTGGACGGGAGACTGCAAAGCTGAGCTCAGTGTGACGAGAAGGAAAATGACACATTCCTGAGCCTCGTGGTGTGGGGAGACCCGTGGCAAGGGGAGCACTGCAGCCTGATGCCCATACTTCCCCAGCCGTGCTCCTCTCCTTCCCGCCTCTCTTCCTCCTCTGCCACCGCATTCTCTCCTGTCTCGCCCTCACAACCCTGACTCCATCTCACCTCCCGTGTATCTCCCAGGGCAGTCCAGGGTTCCAGGGGCCTCACTGAGCCCACCGGTTACCCGTGTCATAGCCCGCGGTGCGTCCATCTGGAGGCCTCAGAACAGCATGCCCGCTCATTGATGACTGGCGCATGTTTGGAATCGTCATTGTTGCCACTTTTAGGCCCTTTCTCGTGCAAATCAAACTGCATTGAGAAACCATCTCACGCCACTCAGAACGGCGATCATGAAAAAATCAGGAGACAACAGATGCTGGAGAGGATGTGGAGAAATAGGAACACTTTTACACTGCTGGTGGGAGTGTAAATTAGTGCAACCATTGTGGAAGAGAGTGTGGCGATTCCTCAAGGATCTAGAAATAGAAATTCCAATTGACCCAGCAATCCCATTGCTGGGATGCTGGGTACATTGCATGTACCCCAGAACTTAAAGTATAATACATTTTTTAAATGCATAAATAAGTCAATAAATGCCCTTTCTCATTCCCCCTCAGACCTGGCTCAACTGGATAACGTGTGGCTTCAGTGTCCTCTTGTTTTTCACCGTGGCTTTGATTTACAACGCTTCTTGTGCCACGTGCTTTCCTCCGTCCAACCCTTACTGGACAATACAAGCCTTACTGGGCGACCCAGTGTTTTACTTGACTTGCCTGGTGACGCCTGTCGCTGCGCTGCTGCCCAGGTGCGTGTCGGAGTGGGATGCCGCCCTGAGCCCCGAGCAAGCCGGGACAGCAGTGACATTGCTTCTGCTGTGTGTGGGTCTCTGGAAGCTCAAAGACACCAGCCACGGAATATCTAACTTTTCTTTCAATGTGCTCTTTCTAGATTGTTTTTCAAATCCCTCCAGGGGAGCCTTTTCCCCACCCACCTGCAGCTGGCACGTCAGTCGGCCAGGAAGTCCCCCAGGAGACTCAACGCTCCCAAAGAGACCTTTGCTTGGGGATGCCTCCCAAGGGACCCGGGAACCGAGCACGCAGAAGGGAGGACCACCCAGACCTCTGTGCCCCTGTCCCAGCCTTCTTGGCACACACAGCGGCCGGCCTGCTCCCCGGAGGCCAGTGGGGAGCCCAGCGCGGTGGATGTGAGCGTGCCACTGAGGGACCACCCCCTGCTGGAGGGGCTGAGCGCGCGGGCCCCCAGGACCTCCACACCGGGGGAGGCTGCCCCGGGAGGGTGTCCCAAGGAGCCCAAGGTGAGAGCTGCCAACACCGGCAGGGCCTCCCCGCTGTCTTCCCTCTTCAGCCTGCCCACCTTCAGCTCAGTCAACTGGATTTCCTCCTTGTCACTGGTCAGCAGGCTGGGGAGTGTCTTACAGTTCTCCCGGAGCAGCCCGCACGTGGACAAGCGGGACGTGCACTTCCTGTCCCGCCCCGCCCAGGTCGACCAGGACTTCAGGGCCCAGGCCACGAACTACTTCTAGGCGCACCTGCAAGGCGGTCGCAGTGAAAACCTTGAAGTAGCCTTTGTCTATACATGCAACATAGATGTTAATATTATTTATGTGTATTATTTGCACAGAAGAGTTCTAGGGAATGTGTTTCTAAATGTTTCCAAGGCTAATACAGGGAACTAGAGGTACCAAAAAAGAAAGTTTATTTTTTAAAGTTCTAAGTAGAGTATATTGAACAGAAAAAGAAGAGCTTTAACATATATAAAAGTTTAAAGAAGAGCGACACTTGAAAAGTGTTCAGATTTATTTTTTCATCTCATTTTTAGGAACAAGTAGTATGCCCCGTTTTCCTCGACATGCATGAGCTTGCCGTCCCTGAGTAGAAACGTGACGCAGCTCATAGTGAACGCACGCAGGGACGCAGCCCGGGGAGCAGCCAGCACAGATGGCCGAGGGCAGAGCACGGGGCCCCCAGAGGCAGAGTCCCCACGGCTTCCAGTCCCACCGAGGCGACAAGGGAGGGCTGGTGGGCTCTGCTTCAACCGGGTGAGGGAAGGGGGACCTCAAGAGAAATTCACGGGTGAGTGCGTCCCAGCATCCCGTTCCGTGTAGGCATTTCAGGGAGGCCATCTTGTAGGAATTACAACCCCAGTGTGGTATTTTGCCTGTTAAATCATAACAAGCAATAAGCAGCCTTCACTTTGCAAAAAGAGTGGGTCCACTTCCCACTGTTGTATGAAATGGTTCCTATGTGACCTCATAGGGTATGATCTGAAGACACTTCCCTAAAGCAAGTCTTTTTGGAGCCCATGAAGAAAGCCTGTGGCACACTCCGTGGTGGCTGTGCCGCCGGCCCCTGCCCCAGGCCATCAGCGCCAGTGCCAAGGAGCTTGACCGTCCTCGGGCATTTTTCTAATGAGCCATCAGTTCATTCATCTAAAACTAGAAGAGGAAGGAGAGAAAGGATGACAATCCAAGATGGTGACATGGCCTGACCTTCCCTGAGCCCATCCCGCTGCTTCGTCACACAGTTCTCAGGTGCTGGCTCTGCTCAGCACGGGGCTGGGAGGGGCGTACTCCCTGCTGTGTGGGCCCCAGAGCTGCTTTAAACACCTGTGTTCAAGGACAGCAATGCAGAGAGGGCAGAGGCTCTGAGGACAAGGAGATTCCCAAGCTCAGCGCAACAGGAAAGAACGGCCCGTTCCTAGGTGTGTGTGACCACTGCAAGCCACAGAAAGTGCACCTCATTCCAGTGAAGCAGAAAAGCAGGCACGGGCTCAGTGCAGGTCCCGAGAGACGGTGCCTGGACTCAGCAACTCAGACCTGCGCTTGGCTTTCAGGTACAGCTTTGTCCTGGGTGGCCTCTGTTCTGCAGATGCCTGGCTGGAGTCCTCCCAGGACTTATCCACGCATCCCCGTTCAGAGGAGACAGAAGGTTCCTCTCTCCACATTCCAAACAGAGTCCTGGTTTCCTCGGCCTCACCCTGCAGAGACTGCCCAGCATCTTCAGAACCAGTCACTGGCCAATGGAGGGGAACCTCCTGACTGGGCCTTCCAGCTGGAGCTGGGAGAGACGCCTGCTTCCCTCAGAGTACCCGAGGTGCTGCATGAGCAGACGTCAGAGGAATATCTAGGCCCTGTTAACTGGGGGAGACGGGTGGCAGGGCCTTCAGCCAGTGATTTTAGACCGAGGGTGATGGCCGCCCCAAACCTGCCCTATCAATCAAGCCTGGTGCCATCTCCTCTGTTCTTAGAACAACGCACAGGAAAAGAATCTCCTTGGGAAGGTGCACATGCTCCCCGAATCAAGGTAACCGCTTGTTGCTAGCACCAAGGACAAGGACTAGAAGCACATTTACCTGAGTATCTGAGAGTTCCCAATGCCCAGCTTCCAGATTATCCAGCACTCACACCCGACCTTCTTTCCAGAGGAGGTCTTTCTCCTCTGGAGAGTAGACACTTGCTCTTGGGAAGTGGAATGACCTTGGCGCTGGCTTCGGGAATATGCATCCCACAGCCAGTGTAGAGAAATACATGGAAACGGCATTAACAGCTGCTCTTTAGGATGGGGAGTATTCCTAGAAATCCACGATGATCATCTATGGCAAGCACCTACATCTGATGTCAAACATGATGATCCCAGAAAAGCAGTCGGTGAAACAGGTCACTAAATCCCAGTAACAGATCTAAAATAAGTTGGAAGGCTCGGTGGCAAATAGCTGGGTTAGTCACCTGACATTGGACAGTGTGCCTAACTCAAGGTCAAAACCAGTGAACCCTTAAGTTCTTGGAGGTCAGATGTCATGTCCTCTTCACCCTGTATCCCCGGCCCCTTGCACAGAACCCAGCAGTTCAAATGCACTGAGCAGACGTTTGAAGAATCCAAGCACGAGTGTAATCATGCAGCACTGAAGCCATTCCTGCCATGCTCAGAGGTCAAGGACAGTTGCTTGCTGTCACCCATTATGATTTAATATTTTCTGTAATTTCTGGCTAATAGAACAAGACACGCATTCTTCAAAAGAAGGCATGTGAACTATAAAGGCAGCAGGTTGAAAGTAAAAAAGGATTTAATATACAGACAGTCTGTAAAAGAAAGGAGACGCGATTATGTTAACATCAGACAACACCGACTTCGGGCCACAAAGCGGGGCCTGATGATGATAAACAGGCTGACTCCTCGGGACATGAGAATCGCCAGTGATGTGCCCCAATAACCAGAGCTTTAAAGGACACGACACCAAAATTCACAAACAGGAGCAAGAGAGAGATCATGAATATACCCAGACAATCCTTCAGTCATTTATAGAATAGAGGAAAAAGTGGGTGTAGGAGTGAGAGGGGCAAGCAGTTTCTTTATTTGTGACTAGAAAATGCAGACCCAGCTGTAAGTGTGCATGGCCGCAAGTGCTTGGCCGAAACTACAAACAGAGCTGCTCCTCCGCACACAGACACGGCCCAGGCCAAGCAAGGCCAGGGGGGCGTGGGGAGGGGTGCAGAGAGGAGCGAGCACAGAGAGGGTCCCAGCTCCCTGGCTCTTTGGCCAGGAGGCACCTGCCCTCATCATATCTGTGCCTTCAGTAAGGGGCTGGGATCTGCTCTGCCCTCCTCCTGCTTTCCTCGCATTTCTACCAAAAAGCCCGGGTGGACCTGTTCCCTCAAAGACAAAGGAAGACTTTCCCTAAGTGTCCACGCTGCCACCACTGCAGAGCCCACGCCCTGGGGTGCTTCTCACACTCAGGGCGGGGGCACATTTGCAGATCGCAGAATCAACCTTGTTACCGAACTTGTCGGTCCCTTCCCTTGCCTTCCCTTCCCTTTCCTTTTCCCCTTCCCCCCTTTCCTACAGAGTCTACTCTTGCCCAGGCTGGAGGGCAGGGGCACAGTCACAGCTCACTGCAGCCTAAGCCTCCCAGGCCCACAAGATCCTCCTGCCTTAGCCTCCCAAGTAGCTGGGACTGCAGGCACCTGCCACCGTGCTTGGCCAATTTTTGTATTATTTGTAGAGGTGGGGTTTCGCCATGTTGGCCAGGCTGGTCTCAAACTCTGAGGCTCAAGCAATCCACCTGCCATAGTGTCGCAAAGTGCTGGGATCACAGGCGTGAGCCAATGCACCTGGCCTTGCTTTTCGTGGTCTGAGCAAGCCCTGGGAAAGGCAGCTCACTGCTTGCTCCCTCCCTCCCAGCCCCTGGGTTCCTCTCACTCAGAAGGGAAGCCGGCTCTGTCTCCAGGGCCTCTCGTGGCCACTGTTACCCAGGTCCTGAGAGTCCTGCCCAGAAGGTCTTCCCGTGAAGACTCCTTTTTTCATTTCAACCGAGCCGGTTCTGACACAATGTCGACTGGGGTCTTATGAATGAATCCCTCCTCATGCTTGTATTGAAAAGCCCTATAACACTTTTAAACCATCTGAGCTCAGTTTATACCCAACTTGGGGCAAGTGCTGTGGAAAAACAGACGTGACGAGAGTGTTTACGCGACACTTAGAATGGCACTGCTGTCATCATCAGACCACAGCTGGAGGCCCTCGCCGGAAAGCACGACGCGGCTCAGACTCCGCAGACTCGGGATGCACAAACCAACCCCTCCGGAGCCAGGCCCAGGCCCAGTACACGATGTGCCTCCAACTTTGCCGGAGTCACTCGCCAGCTTCCTGAACTCCCCGAGCCGCATGCCCATGCCCACACGCCGTCCAGCCAGGGCTGGCTGCAGCCGGCTCTTACATTTTCTTTCTAATGAGGATTTTTCAGCGTCCTCAGTTCCTGTTTAAAACAGCACACAAAGCCCAGGTTGTTCACTGAACTGCAAAGCCGTCTGCTTTTCACCTTGTCCCAGCCTCTCTGGCTGGAGGGCATCCGCAACCTGGCAAGGCCGGAGAGGCCCCCTGGGCCCCGACTGTCCTCCCAGCTAAAAGCTGGAAGAGAAATACTTCACCTTCCCTAACACCACAGGCAGATTCCTGCTTTACTGCAGAGCGACATTTCCTAGCTCATAATTTAATTGTTTTAGAAAGGGTTATCTTTTAGTTTTACAGATTTTAACTTTGCAGCTCAAAGTTACATGACAAAAAATAATAAATAACAGAAGACACACCAGCCCGTGCTGCGCTGGCAAATAATCCACAGAGAAACGCAAAACCGCTCTGGACAGCCGGGGCTGGCGCATCTGCCCCTTCGGAATGAAGCTGTGAAGTTTGTTGTTTTTTATTTATTATTTCTGAAGCCGTGAATTCCAAAGGGGCCTGGCCAGGGACACCATCACTAAATAAAAAGAGAAGGGGTCCTGACTAGTGGGGCTGCCCAAGTTAACCAACCATTTATTACCCGCAGCAGTCCCCACGCTGGGAAGACAACGGAGCTGCATACACAGGTAGTGCCAAGTGTCTTTCTCATCCTGAATCTCCTTTGTCCAAGCTCAGAGCCTGAGATGAAGACTCACTCTCAGACCTTTGGGGTGCAAGAGGCAACCATGGTTATTCTGTTTGGAAAACGCTTCCTGAGCCCTGACCCCATGGGTGGTCGTCACCCAGCAGCCCCGAGGGGACCCAGGCGACCTTCCTCTTTGCCCTCTGACCCTGCTGGGGCATCAGGACACCACGAGCCCCACACCCACATGCACTTTGATGGAGAGTGTCCTGGGCAGGGACACACACACAGGCTTGCCATCACGACCTTTTCATCAGCCTAATGGCGGTGCCCATCCAGGGACACGCAGCTTCCCTGTCTCCCATCACACCCCCTGGGTCAAACACGGCACAGCTGGAGCAGGGAAGTATCCACCAAGTGAAT